TAAATTCTGAAGTGCCAGCTCTCATCCAGGTGGCTCCATAGCCATGCCCAATGAGAAACTATGCGTTCAGACATCTCTATTGATTCATATCAACAAACACAATCTGGCAGTTTCCATCTCCACCAGGACCATAAGTTAATGGGTCCTAATTGCCTGTTGAAGACCAAGCCACTCAAAAACACTCTGCATTTTCAACACGGATCGCTCACACCAATATACTGTTGCTGGGAAAACCCATTTCTCCCCAACTACCGTGAGGATTGCAGCGAAACTTGGAGGAAACAAGGAAGCCTGGAGTGGAAGGTGAACAACATTCGTATTATCCCCTCTGCTAATCCAGGTTCCTGGTACTCTGCCCCTGCGAGTCCTTGTGCCACTACGATACTGGGCCAGGTCCCCCTAGCTTAGTGCCACTGCCACTGATTGTCTGTGGCTTTCGAGGCCAGGGGTTTTCATCCGTTCCACAGCTGGGGACCGGCGAAAACATAATGCAGTATACTGTGTATTAGTTTCCATACACTATACAGGAGCAGAGCGGACCCAACAAAATAACGAAATGCCAAAATCAGTTCAGCTCCCTGCCAGCTCCTACAAAACCGTCTCTCCTCTCTCCGGCCTCCCCAGCGGCACAGGGGCACCCTCTGTGATTGCGATGCCAACGGAGGAAGAGGTGGTGGAGCACAGCCATCCCCTGCACCGTCCACAGTGAGTGGGATGTGCCCCCCCCCAGCAGGAAATCTCCCATGGACTGGTGCTGGTCCATGGACCAGTGGTTGAAAACCATTATTCTAGGGCTTCATTCAGGATCTTTGCAGGCGCTACCTAGGGGATGAATTTAGAAACTGCTGCGGGCCACTGCAGTAGCTTGCCAACTCCACCATTTCCACTGGCCACCCAGCAGGGCGAACTGGAGGGCAACACTCCTGGGGAAGGACCTGTTCGGAGAGCAACGCAAAGGTGTGGGAAGGGAAGAGGGAAAAGCTCTGAGAAGACTAAGAGGGGAAAGAGGGAGACTACAATCATAGAGCAAGTTTCTGAAGGAACTGGGGAATGGGAGGCAGTACGGTAGCAAAGTTGAGGACCTGAGGAAGCTGAGAACGGACTGGGAGCTGCGTTCTTCCCTTCCTACCATTAGCGGTCAGCAGCAGTTCCACAACCAACACGGTTTCAGGCATATTCTGAGTCTAGCGCCGCACAACTGCAGACAACACTGAAGAAATAGCCCAACTTTTCAGCACCGTATTACCACTGTACCCATTTCTCTCCACACTATCGCTTAGAGGCTCTTCTCTGTGTTTCCCCTCCTCACACACATTCAAATGCTTGTTTTCCACCCCACTTACCATTCCAGTTAAATAAATCCTGATTTTTGGAGGCTTATTGTTATCGTTCTTATACCCCGACCTTGTTCTCCACAGAGCACAAAGCGGCCTACAGTGTGACTGAAATGCATGCCAATGAAACAGACGTAAAACCTTATCTTCACACACAAACAACGAACATGCAATAATAACCCGACCAAAAAACACGAACAAGTCAGGAGCCTCGAGCACATGTAAAGGAAACGGTCTTGACTTACTTAACTTGGTCTTGACTTAGGTCCACTTGGCCTTCCTTCGGTCTTGATGGTCACAGAGGGGCAAAGTGCACCTGTTGGGGGGCTGCCTCCCCTGCCCCCTCCCCCAACAAGTGCCCCCCACATTCCGGGCTGGGGGAGGGGTCCTGGAGGGCCTGAGGCGCTGCATGCGAGTTTGGGGCCAGCATTTTTCTTCTTCATCCACTCCATGACCATGTTGTTGTTGTTGTTGTTACAATGTAACATTAATGCCCGATTCATTTTCCTCTTGGGAGTAACGCCAGCCGGCTTAGAGCCCTCCTCCACCCCATTTTCTCCTCACAACCACCACCTTGTGAGGTGGGTTAGGCTGAGCACGACTCCCTGGCCCAAAGGCTCTCACTCAGCTGTTCAGACAAGTGGGGCCTTTCCGGTCCAGTACTCAAACCACTGCACCACACTGCCTCTCTGCACCATCACTACCTAGCTGTGCTTTGCTACTGAGTTAGATGAGAGCGCTTTCCCATCACCTTCTGCCTCATTTTTTATTCTTAAGGGTGGTACTTGAACCTGGTACCTTCTGTGTGCAAAGGATGTGGTGTGTTATGAACTATGGCTCTTTCAAGACAGCAGAAAAGGGCAAAATAGCTTTGCACAGACTCTTTATAATCACGGGAAATAATATAAAGATGCGTGCCAGCTGCTCTCCTACAACTTTAGCTAGAGATACCAAAGTCTGGACTTGGGACCTTACATAAGCAAACTGCAACTTATAGGTATCTAGAGAAAACTGTTCTTGTGCTTTTTGTGAACCCCTCATAAGCCACTAAGAAAAGCAGGAACCCAGCAAGGATCAGACTACAACTTCTGACTTGCCTCCACTACCAAAAAATTAGCTGAGGTCTCTGGAATAAGGTTCTGCCTTCTATCATGTAATGGTGCAAACGTGCTGAAGTTGTAACTACCATAGGAATATGTGTGTCTGCATCATACCTACGAGATTGATTCCTGTATGCCTGAAACGTCGTATGCATGCTAAGGAAACCCTAGAGATATGTACTGCAAATTTTGATGGAATTTAATACAGCCCTGTGTTTGAAGCCTGCAATAATGTCTTTGGCAGTGAGGAGTCTATTTTCCAACCAAATGCATAGCAGTGAAGCCACTGGGTGGTAGTCCAAGCAAGTTATATGGTTGCCCCCCACCCCCCCCCACACAGGGAATGAAGTGGGAAGACCCCCTTCATGTGACCATAAGGATACAGCATGGCAGGCACCATTTCTGGGGGTGTGAGGTTTCCAGTTCTGGCAGCAGAGAAACTTGAAGATTTTGACCTATCAAACCAAGAGAAATTCCAACCAGTATGAAGCTCAGTCTGTTTGGTGGTGAAAACCTGGAAGGAGTTAAGTGCATCCTAATGTTGGCTCCTATGGTTCCCCGATATTGCTCCAGCTCCTATCTCCTCTCTAGAGCAGTGTCTTTTACATGGCAGCTTGAACTACAGAAAGGGAGTCTTTCTGTATAGAAAAACAAAACACTATTTTTTTATGGCAACTGCCTTGGTATCAGTGAAGATTCATGCTGTTCCATAATAGTTTCGTATGTTCATTTTATCTCTTTAGCTGTATTTTCTGTTTTTTAAGTCTAGTAAAGCAGATTTTTTTAAAAATTAAGATAGCTGTAACCCACCTCCACAACCACCTTCTGTTCAGAGGTAGTCTATAAATAGTGAGTGTTTAAACTAACTACTCAACTTGAGACATCTGATTATTTAAATCAATCCAATCCAATTATTTAAATCAATCCTTAAGATCACATACTAACATCACGTGATGGTTGCTAGTACAGAGGCATTACATTTGCTCACTCCTGTTACTTTGACAAATTGAAGGAAAACAGCATCTTTTTTCCAGGTTAGGGATGCCCTCTTCTGGTGAAAGGCAAATTTCCAAGCAAGCAGAGAAATACCAGATGCTGAAAACTTACCTTCAGGGTGATTAATCTTCAAGGCAAATATTTTTATGAGCTACAGCTCCTCCATGAAACAACCAAACTTCCCACTGAATGTTTATGCAGAACATGTCAGAGCTACATTCGATACAATGGGAGTTGTGAAACCAGAAGGTTTTTTTTTAATGGAGAAAAGCTAAGATTAACATTTTGTTGATCGAAATTTCACAAGAGGGAAAAAATAAATTGAATCCTTCTACTGTTAGCACACTTACTGTTAAATTCATATTTGTTATACCAAAGAATAGTCGCATAGTCCAACTCATAGGGTGTTCTGCAGTTTTATTTAAATAGGAGGAACAATGTGGATCGCATCTTCAGATACCAGCAATTGTGATAATCACCTGTAAAAGCATGTCAGATACCTACAAGCCAGGTGTCAAATTGCTATCTGGCTAAATATGTGAGAGGGAGAACCACGGAAACCAGGCACAAAATCAGTTACATTTGCTTCACACCACCCTATAGCAACAGACACCTCTTCTAGGAGGTATATTTTGCTTCATTTTCATATTTGTAGCCACCATTACTGGAGAAACATCTGAAAGAATCAGAAAGGGTGTATCATTAACAATCCTGTTTAAAAAGCAGCCAGGTGGTAACCTTAATGGCAAGCAGTATGTCTTCACCTACCTGTGTGCTTCCTGTCCGGCTGCTGTTCAGCTAGCATGTGCTGGACTTGGGTGGGACTTTGGTCTGATTCAGAATGGCTGCTTTTATGAATGGGGATTTAAGAAACCAGTTCTGGGACCAACTACAAGCTATGGATTAAAATGAACTGCTTCTCATTCTATACGGTGAAAAGGTTATACAAGTTGAGGAGAAATCCAAAAGTGGGGTTTTTAGGTACCAAGGAGAATCCATTTTTGACATTTCCAAATTGCTTTTCTATCTAAGATGCCAAAGGTATGTTAAAAATTGCACTGATGCAATGTGAGTGTTTTCACCATACTGCTCTCTGGCAAAAAGCGTCTTGTATTTATCTATCTTTATATCCTGATTCTATGATTATTGCTGTCAACTGCCTAGAGAGCTTTGGCTATGGGCAGTATAAAAATGTAATAATAATAATAATAATTATTATTATTATTATTATTGTTGTTGTTTAAAGGCCATCCAGTAGCACTGTGCTCTCTGAACAAAACATAATTGTGCTTTGTTTCCTTCATCTGTAACTTGCAGATGGCATCCTAACCTAAAAGTTTCAAGGAATATGTTAAGGACCAGGAGATATTTCATAGTCCACTAAAATACCAACATGCATAAAAAGTGATGGAAAACTTAGAAGAGAGGTATGGAAGACAAAATTCACATTTCGAGCATTAGTCATTTAAAGTATAAGTGCATCAGAAAGACTGGGTTTCATAATTCAGGTGTATCTTGAGGTTAGATAGTACCATATAAAAAGAATTCAAATGCATTTTTGCAAAAAAGGGAAGTTTTTACATGTTTTATTAAGTACATTTATTAAACAATTGTGTTAGAATTCAGCTGTTACATATAAAAGGACTATTCTAGAGACAGTTATATTTTCACAAATGTACTGAACACACATTGGTACTATGCTGTGCTTGTAACATTTCTACAGAAGTTAGTAAGATTGTTTTAGAGTGAAGTTGCTGTGGCCTTTGGCTAGAAAGTTTAAGGTGTCTCAATATAGGAAGGGGCCTTTAATTAGCCAATTTAAACCTCAGGATTATGCTTTGGATAATGTATGCTAGAAAAGCAACCTTTCGAGTTCAACGTTTTTTTTCAATGTAACAGCCTTGTTTTATTATAAACTGCCTTGTATAAGGGCAACATGGTGATAAAATTGCCTGGGTGGTTCTAAACTGATGAAAGATGATGCATAAAGCACACCTGGGAGTGCTTTTTCCTAATACAATTAAAATATTTTCTAGGATTTCTACCCTGGTGGTCACCATCTACTTCTCACTAAAAGCTAATGGATGAAGAACCTTTGTTAACACTTGGATGTTTTCCAATTTCGTTTGCTTAACAGGCTGCTGCAAATATTTTTTAACTGCCACCGTATGTTCATTTTCAGGAGTCTCTTAGCAAAAGGGGCTGATTTGGAGGCTGAAAGCCTGCAACTGGCACACAGCAAGCAACCTGGTGTCCTACAGATGGCTTGCATTACAACTCCCAGCATAGCCAATGTTTAGGGATGTAGCCCTGAAAATGGGAAACACATCAAGCTGCCAGTCCCAGGTATATGGGCCAGTATACCCTGAATGTATCAACATTCCTTGCACTACCCAGATTGCGTTCACACACAGCTCCAACCAATGACACGCCAAATCAGGGTTTCTTTACTATGGGCACAGAAACACCTGGTGATGAAATTCTGTGATTTGGCAAGAATCTTGGCACAGTGCGGAGACCTCCAGATGCACCCTCCTTCTAAAAAAAAGGCAGCCAATAAAGGACTTGAGTATGCTGACAAAACAAAAGCTTCCACAACGTCACATTTTGTTGCAGTTCTGCTTGTGATATTTGGAGAGAGGGATTTTCTCCCATCTGATTACGCTGCCTCGTCCAACTCACAACTTCAGTCATGTTGCCTATCGCATGTGTGGGGGTTTTCCTACACCAAGAGAGACCCTGGGAGTGTTTATTCTTGCCAAATGCAAAGGTTCAAAGTAAAACTTGAATTGCTTACATCAACCTGCTTTAATGAGTTTAGGGCACAATCCTATAAAACTTCAGAAAAAAATCTTCAACAGCCAACACACTGGATGGAGAATGCTTGGAGGTGCGGGACTTTTTCCCCTATTTTGGCATGCACAGGATTGTGCCCTTAGGACTTGGGGGCTTCATCAAATAACCTCTGCTTTGAAATAAAAATGCAGAATATGCTATTTAAATGATAATCATTTGGCCCAACATGTTATCAATGGTGGTAGGGATCAGGAAAAGCAAGGGCAATTAGATTATGTTTCTTCCTCAAGCACTGGAGGACAATGTTCATGCCTGTGCTACAAATTAAATTGTGGCTGTATTCAAGACATGGCTGAAGAAGTGCGTAGCTGACATATGTTTGTAAAGCAACCATTCCATCACCTTTCTGCATTTTATAAATGTCACAACGGAAGCCACAAAACACAATCCATATTGATTTTCTGAGTGAAGTACAAGGGTACTTCAGTTTGGTGTAGATCAGAGCCGTTAGCCAAGAGGCTAGCAAGATATGCCCAGTAAGAAAGAGTCCATGTCCTCCTGCTAAGGAAGACATTTCGTACTGGAAAAATACAAACTGGCTAACTAAGTGGCGCTTCAGCCACAAAGAAATCAAATAAACTGGAAATAATTATTTTGGAACTCTTTTGGTTTTAAACATATTAATATTGGGAACCTACTATATGGACCTTTCCACAAATACCTATTCTCATTCTTTCACTCAAGTGAAAAAGAATGTTCTCAGGAATGTGTACAACAGAAAGTAATAAGCCTTTTGTCCTGTGTACTAACAACATACATGTGTCAAGCACCGCTGACTTGGAAAAGGGCTGTTGCCATCAGGGATTACAGTTTAGTCCAATATTAATCCAGGTGTCCAGTCAAGCCAGGAACTTTGGCTTGGGTACCCAATGGTGTTGTGCTGATCTTGCCTGGGCAGCTGCAAAAGGAAGAAAAGAAGCACTGCAAGACTGCCGACATGTCACCTTTCCGAACAACAGTTTGTCAGAGTGCGAATTAGCCTTCCTTAGGAAACAGGGCAATTAAGACACAGCCCTTGGTCTGGTCCGAAAGAGAGAGCAGAAAAAAGCATTTCTTTATTTCAGTTCTAATCAGTTATAAATGGCGGCCAGAGCAGGGCAACTTTCCACTTCCGGCATATACCTTTTTTTAATTACAGCAAGCTTCCCCCACCATGGTGCCTTCTACAAGTGCTGGACTGAAGCTCCCAGCTTGCCTCCATAGTTTGCTGGGGCATGGTAGGACTTGTAGCCTGCAGAGTACCGCGCTGGGGAACAGTGGCCTCCTTTCACCACCAGAATCCTAAGGGCATTTGGAACTCAATAAGCTCTCCCCCTCTATCCTTTTAATCATCAGGGATAGAAAAAGTACACAGAGCTATAGTTCAGTCACACTTGGGAAGCCTGATTTATGAAGACACAATTTGCCAAGCATGGTCTTAACTCTAAACAATTTATTCCAAAGGTCGTTTTTGACCTTCCATGGAATTTTGAATGGAATTCTTGGGAAATAGGGAAGAAGATGCTCCAAAATCAGCCATTTCCTCAGCTTTTGAACTTCTCACACTGCTCAGATATATTTCCAAGAACTTGGCAGACACAAAGGCTACAGACACAGATAAAGGCCTGGCCCTGGCCCACATTCAGAGGACTGTAAAGCTCAATTCTCTCCCTTACATGATATGAAACATTAGCTGCTAGTAGTGCCATTTAAAGACATATTCATGGAAACAGCACTGGCTCCTGTCTTTGTTCAGAACTGAAATCCATCTCAGGTCAGTATTACTAACAAGCACCTGAAATGCAGAGCTTTGTATTAGTTTTGGAGTCAGGAAATTACACAGAAGGTTGAGAAATACGTATCATGCCATGCCAGGAAACTACAAGCTAGCTAAAAAGAGCAGCCACCACAATTGTGCTAATTTGAAACTCGTTATTTGATTAATCTTGCGCCAAACTCATGATCACTGGAAACAATGTCTAAATTTTGCACATTTCGTTTGTTGGTTTGGCTCTCTCTGAACCTCGAGCAAATTCTATGCTAATTTCTCAGTGAGAACAAGTCTTCATCCTGGAAAGTCAAGAACTCTAGCCCAAGATTTCTACCCTAGTAAAGGAAGTGCTCATGAAAGGGAAATAGCTTTCGACTTTGATAATGGTATAGAATTTGGATATAGGTTTAGAAAAAGGAAACAAAATCATGTAACACCCTCTAAAGATATGTCACAAATCATCACACTTGGAGTTGCTAAAATGGAACACATTTCTTAGTTTCTTTCCAATGACACATCTTGCATAACCAAGAATACCCTTAACTCATCTCCCAATATTTACAAATGAAAAATTTAGTTACCTATTCCTGGTGCAGTTGCTCCAATATTACAGTTCTATATTACATGGAATGTGGACTGACTCACTCATAATGCCACCATATTTTATAATCCTGATTTGGACGGCAAGTCCTAACCCCAGTTTTGTTTGGATGGGATGGCAAAACATTGCACTAAAGAGGAAATAACTAATTGAATCAAACAGATGAAGGGATGAGGGATGCGCGATAGGAAGTCTCCTTCACATAGTACAAAACATGATTTAGTGGTGTATCTGAATCAACCCTATGTGACGAAATATTATTAAATGCTTTAACTTTTAATATTTGGAGAAGAAAAATTAAGTGAGTCCTCCTGAAATGGTTCTAAAGTCAACATTTTATACTTTTACATTGCTTTAATAGCAAGCATGAAAACAGAACCATACTATTTCATAAGAGAAACACTAGAAACTAGTGCAGCTGAAAATGACCTCAGTTTACCCACATGTTTTGAGCATACTGGTCTTTATCAAGCCTGTTTTGCCAGCCATTTCATAAGGAACAGCCTCTCTTTGTCAATTTGACAAAGAAGAAAAACAAAGAAAAACATGTTCGATCAAGTTGGATAAGGTTTTAAGAATAAATCAATATTCTATGGTACCTGTGGAGGTTTTCCTTGTTTATTCTGACTTCTATTTTAGTATAAAAATAATCTGTCTTCTTCAAGGCAACTTAAGCAAAAACATATGGAGTTTCACATCCTACTAAAAGCAAGTACACATTTAAACTTGCTGTGGATAAGATAAAGTTTTGCTACCTAAACAACAAACCTGCCAAGAAGGAAAGAGAACCTGGGGTCTCCCTTGATACCATAAATAGAAACAGATGGTACTCAGGAGCTGCAACTATTTTTGAAGATGCGTGCAGTGATAGAATATCCTGCAGTGAATGTGCTGCTAAAGTAAGAATCCTGACGAAGGAGAGTTCTTATTTCCTTAGGAAACTCAGCCACAGGAGAGTCAAGCAAGTTTAAAACAAGACCCTGAGTCACTTGCCATGGCTTATTATAAATGCTGCTTCAGTTTACATGTCGATTAGGAGTCCGTGCTGAAACAACATGGCAGTAGGCCTGCACAAGCCGGGCCCTGTCCCATGCAGGCAGCTTCCCTGCATGACGGGGGACACTGCTAAAAATAGCTGCTCACAAGTAGCCTAACATGCAAGCGGGGAAACTGGACCGTGCTCAGTGTTCTTCTCTGCTGCATTCCCACGTGCCACATGCCATGTGGTTCAGAACTGAGTTCTCAAAATTCTGAACTGCAAGGGAAGCCGATCCATAAAGAGCAGGCTCCCCACTACAGACCTTCCCCCAGCTTGGCCCCACTGTGAGGAGAGCGATGGTGGAAAAGGGCCTTGTTTGTCCTATTCCCACAGCTTGAAGCAAGTGAGGGAGGACACCCAGATAGGGGGGAAGCTCTGCTGCAGCAGCTGCCCACCCAGCAGACAGACTGAACAGTGCTGGGAAGGACCTGTGCTCCAAGCTGCCTTCATCCCTGCACATGGAACGCCAAACCGACTCAGTTCTCACCTGGTGTTGGCAGCAGGCCAGGCCTGCCACTAAGCAAAGGTCGCTTTGCAGGCAGGTGTGGAGAAGGCGACAGGAGGATGGGTCTCTTAGTTGACTTTATTAGGAGAGGTGGAGGTTTGCCCTTTGGACCAGCCAATGCTGTTTTGGGGGAAAAGTATATGTTACGCCTGCTTTTTCCTCTTCTAAACATCTGGAGCTTTTTATATGCTCAAGGAAATACACATTACAATATAAAATTATCCAAGTCCAATCAAATGAGTTAAAATACACCAATAAACAATAACCACTTAAATTGTCTTTTAGCAAAATGACAAATCAGCTTAAGGCCAGTTAGTACCATTCTGGACCAGCCTAATTCTCCAACCACTTTTAAAAAGCAGTTCCACAGAGGACACATAACAATAGCCCAAATTAAATGGAACAATGCTCTACAGCGGATCTGACATTTCTAAGAATAGGCGCAGTTTAGCCAGGTCATAGCTGCACATTTACAGGACTGCATAAAATACATATGTGCATCGTAATATGGGTGAAACTAATTTTCATGTTATGTTTTATGCAAGAAGTACTGGAACTGCCATAAAACAGTGCCCCCAAGTGCCAGCCCAGCCAGGTGGTGCAGGAAACCAGTGGACATCAACATCTGTGGGAGAGTCCAACAGAACCAATAGGGACAAATTCCCATGTGCGGTTCACGGCACAGACTGTCTACGAAGGTTACCAAAGCAGTCTCTCTTCTACAACCAGGCCTGAAGCCAGATTGAAATGGGTCTCAGTTGTTCATGTATTACATTTATATCCTGCTTGTTTTCCTGCAAGGAACCCAAAGTGGCTTATATGACCCCACTCCTCTCCATTTCTTATCCTCACAACCCCCACTTCCACCCTGTGAGGTTACACTGAAAGTCAGTGACTGGCCCAAGTCATCCAGTGGGCATCAGGGCCAACTCGAACGCCCATCTCCCAAGTCCTCGTCCAACATTCTAACCACAACGTCACGCCCGTGTTGCTGTTCCCACTGACATGGGACATAGTATGTTTAGCGGACCAATCAGTTGCAATGCTTGTTAACGTGGTGCTCTGGCTAACCTCGGCTATAACCAGGGCCCATATCCACAGATTTCTTTCGCTTGCTTCAAAGTAAATCTTTTGTTGGGCTATTTGTTTCTTTTAACGGTATTACTGTTTCACTTACCTGGTGTTGGAAGGAGGCGCCCCAGTGGTCTTTCACCCAACAAGGCTGGCTTAGTCGAAGGCAGAGACTGGCCTAGTACAGGGTTTCGGCCAGGGGTGGGGAGCAGAGGTGGCGGTTTGCTTAGGGTCTGGGGCAGAGCACTTGTACTTGGTCTGACGCTTGCTGGGTACACATTGTCTTCAACTGCGGTAGCTAAAGCATTCGTTTCTGCAACAAAGCCTGGTTTAGGAGAACCAAGAGTTAGCAAGTTATACACAGTGATTAGCAACCAGTATTACTAGCAAAAACTGCTGTTGTGCTGCTTACTTATGGGAATAGTGCATTCACTTTACACACCTGTTCCTTTGCGCAGGCAAATACACAGGATTTAAAAAATGGTAACTGGAATTAGACTTAAAGAAGCTGTAGCTTTTTAAAAAAAGTAGTCATCTTCTAAGCATTTTAGTTTGTAGAGTATAATCAAGTGCTGATGGTCTGCCATTGCTTTTGTGGGTGTAATGATTTCCTAGACATCTAATTTTTGTTTTACATATAATGACTTTTGCTAGGAGAAACATGACTGTTACCAGGGGATGGGGAGCAGGATGAAGTAGGAGGCAGCTCTTGAGGACATTTGGATGCACCAAGTTCTTCTCACAACTAGACTGTGGAATTAGGCTCTTCAAGAGAGAGCTTCCTGCCCCGGTTTTGCAAGCCACTGCTGTATAGGAAGTGCTACTGCTTCTTCCATCTGCAGGCACCTGCCATTCATCATTAAAAGCAACTTAGCAAAAAGTAAACTATTTTCCCACATTGTGGTATGAATGATTTCCCTTTTTATACAGCAACAAGAATATACTTTGAAGGCATACAGAAAGGGATACTGAGTAAAAATAAAGACCCACTGTCTTGCATGCAAGGTAGTATTATGTACATACGGCTGTAGTTTCCATTTTAACCACCACCACACGCCCAGGTAAGAGGTACTGGAAATATTACCAATGAAATCCATATTGTAAAACTAAGAAAATGGGGCCCTTTTTGTCCACAAAAGCCAAACGTTTAGCTACTTTTTGGAAATGTTTGCATTCATCGATGAAGAAAGATTTTACAAATTCGGGGTGGGGTGGGGTTAACCTTTATGTTTTGGATTTTGTCATTTTTAATAGAGTGTGTACCCAAGACCTAGTATTGAAATAGTGCGATTTAGAAGGATAATCTTGGGGGACAGTTGGGGAAATCAGGAATACCTTCAAGCTTATTTCTCCTGGTCTTCAGGTAGTCACTTACTGAGTTCAATTCTTCCACATACAAATGTTTTCCCTCACTTAACAGAAAGAGGAGGTGTCTAATGCCTAGAGGCACATGGTAACTCTCATAGAGCTCCCGTTCTAGGTAGTCATCCGCCAGATCAGCTGCTTTGTGTGAAATCTCTGTGCGTTCCTGTTGTTCACGCTCAGCAATAATTTTCTCAAACTCCTTAGCTATCAGAGCCAATGCATCCTCCATGGGCATATTACGGTGTACTATGGAGAAGAGAGATACCTTGCATTTTAAAAAGTTACATCAAAGCCAAACCAGACAGAAAAGCGCTGTGTTTTTGCACCACTAAGACTCTGAAGTTAAAAGCCAATTCAATGTTAATATATTTCAGCTTTTAACTGGAAATTATATGTTCATGAATCAACAAATACGTTCCATTCTTTTAAGTGTGACGTGTGTTTCTGAAAAGGTCTGATTCGTGTGCTCAGAAACGATAAATTAATTTCATGCTTGGAGCAATTTTATGAAACCATTCCTGAATAAAGGAAAGGTATTAAGAAATTAAGTGTTTGAAGTTGTATTTCTTTAAGCTGGTAAAAACATTCAGTAGAATGATCTACTTTATTGCCTCTGATAGAAGGGGAATGTTCAGACTAGTAAGTTAAAAACAGTAGGAAATAAAGTCTGCTCAGTGTGGAATTGGTGTAAGAGTGTATGTTTTTTTAAAATTTCAAACATTATTTAATGGTTTGTTGTTCGGTACATTCAGCAATGAAGGGGTGTTAATTCTTGGTTAGAAGTATTATTCTAAATCGTGACATGTTTTACTATTTTGTGTGTTGAAATGATCTAGATAGCATATTTTGAATGGGGACGTTTCTGAATGAAGCTAAACTTACTTTTGATAGTCTGATGAAGCATGATTACGGTGCAAGAGGAAAGTGCTACATTAGATGGTTCAACAAGAACACAAAATGGGGAACCATCATTTTTAACTTCTTGGAGGGCACGTGTAAGACCTGATTCAGAGGTAAGGTATATCATTTCCACCACAAGGCCATGATCCTGCAACCGATGGCCTATGGCTGTTGAATATTCCCTTGAAGGAAAAAGAAGAAGAAGCAGGTTATTGTACAAATAATTTAAAAGGTAGAGCCAGTGTTCTAGTTGTCGCCATGCTGTGTGTATGGAGGTGACTCAAGACTCCAAAGAAAGTTCTGTTTTTGAAATCCAGCCAATCCACTTGCAATAGCAAGAATGGCTGGGTCTAGTTTTAGAACTGCAATCTTAAGCATTAATGGGGCAGTCACTTGTGCAGAGGACAGCCTTGGCACGAGCAAACTGAGGGTGTATACAGGGCTGGGGTTAAAAGTGATCATTGAAAATTAAAGAGTCATACAACATATTATAAAAGTTACTCTAAGTGTATGTTTTTTAACTTTATCTCTCTCTCTCACCCACACACGCCCACACACATTCCCTTTGTCTCTCTTGACTGGTCTTCCCTAAGAGGAAACAGATTTCTCTACAAAACCAAACTGAAATGGTGACATTCTGGACTGGGCTAGCTGTGCCATCTTGCATGTATGGTGGCACACCCACCATTGACATGTGGTTAAGTTGCACTGGAACACAGAACAATTCTTGAGCAGCTTTCATTTTTAACGGCAACTTAAAAGGCAGCCTCAACTTGATACCAGTGTGAAACTGTATGGCATCTATGCACGGTTATTTTATTAACAGACGGCACATGTGATGTTGGATTCCTGCAGGAACCTTTGTTTTTGGATGTATGTGTATGTAAGCTTGTTTAGCACCAGGTGATGGATAGGAATATAATTTATAAGGAGTATCCAAATACACGAAAAGCAACCTCTAGAGTTCAACGTATTTTTTCAATATAACAGCCTTGTTTTAGTAGAAGCTGCCTTGTATAAGGGCAAACATTGCATTGATGATGCAATGATGATAACACTGCATTGGTGGTTCTAAACTGATGAAAGTTTTTTTTACTGGTCTGTGACCAAAATAAAGTCAGTCATTAATTCATTCAAGTTTGCTTCATACTCTAGGATTTTTAATATATTTTTGAAATTAAAAAATGTGTGAATGAGTAGTTAGGGAGGTAAGAATTATATTTCAAGGTAATTAAGCTAATGACTATTTTATTTGATCTGGGCTTCCATGGGAGGTGGTTGAAACCCCATTGGTGAAGATGTTCAAGGATAGGCTGGACAAGCACATGGTAGGCATGTCATGAGTGGAGCTGGCTAGAGCCAAGGGTCAGACCAGATGGGCCAGGAAACTCCTGATTTGCTGTTTCTATATTTATGGTACCACATATATTCTTCACCTTACACTGGGACATCTGATTTTTTTAATTATTGTGGAACTGTATCCACTGAATTATGCTCCTGATCTGAATCATTCCATGTTACCTAAGGGCATGAAGTCTTTTTCAGCAGCTCTTTTTTACCTCTGAGACAACAGGACAAGGACCAGCAAAGTGTATTTAGCCAGGTGGTGTCGAATGGCTTCCATCTGACTCAAGGAAACGATGTGGGATTTATCATGACTATCTGACCCTTTGTAGCAGTTTTAAAGAAATGTTGGTTGACTCATCTGGATCTTCAGTGAAAAGTATTACTGCAAAGCACAGTACACCCGTTTTGCATCCATGAATTTAAAACCTCTTGCCCCTGAAGTGCAACACAACTTATCTATGTTGAAATTGAATACAGAATGTAAGAATGTATTTAAAAACATGCATTAAGCTTCACCTGCCTCTGAAAGTATGAACACTTGAGCAAAATATTTTATAACATTTGAACAAGCATTTTACTGAGTTACTTTGAAATGACTCTTCCAGATTTAAAACTGGAGATGGTCATACAACCAGAAAGAGGAGCGGCCAAGTGGGCACATCTCAGAAGATTGGAGAAACCTGTCAAATATAAGGCTAAATGAGCAATACATCTAGCATTCCTAGTTCTAAATGAACTCCCAAGATTAGACTAATGTCAAGAGCAAATGGATGAAAGACAGAAATGTATGAAACACTTCCCTTTACCACTGGATGGGAAACTGGAAGAGATCGTGGAAATATTTCCCTAAGAATATAGACCTCATATATTGTTTTAGTAGTGTAATGGCCAGAGGAAGTTCAGAAAATGCTTAAAAACATATTCAGGTAAACTATCTATATTTTATGTGAATCAACAGCTTGAACTTTTTTTAGTGAAAACCTATGCCAAACTGTGGAACTTTAATGAGAGAGACTGCAATTGCTTTTATTACTACAAATGTGCCTTGACCCTATGTGAACAATCAAAAATATCCTAGGACGATGGCTTGAGGATGCCAATTAAGAAGCTCTGGTTAACACTGACAAAGAAGAGCGATGAGTCAGAGGAAACAACTTGATATGAAGAGCATGATTACACTATTGTGCTGTTCCCAAACTTTCATTTTTTTTTAACAAAGGCAGAGGCACCAAATCTATCTTGAACTGATTAATATCTTTGTACTAGATGATGCTCAAGAAAAATAACATACCAAAGTGCTATCTTGAGGTAAAACCAATTGAAGATGCTCATAAGTAGCTTTGTGTACAACATGAAAATACGTATTTTATTTCAAGCAGAGCACAAAAAATGAACTACTTTGGCAACATGCACAAATACTGCTTGCGGTGATGTTCCACCATTCAAAATCAGCATATTCAAACGCAATGTAGTTAGTGATGGTGGGACTACATTCATGGAATAACCTTACAAGCACCCCAATTGCTAACTTACAAATATCAATAGTTCTAAATATCTAGATTAGGCCTCTTAAACTGACATTATTTAGCTCTACCCAATTTATTCCAATGTTGACTTAAAGAAAGAAATATATCAAATGCTAACATTGCATGAACATCCAAGTTATCATCGGGCAAAGAGTGACCTTCTTAAGGAAACATTTTTAAATGCCCTAAAATAGCAATAATAGACATTTATGAAAATTAGCTCCTAAAAAGGAGATATGGCTTTTAGCTAATATTGTTTATTTCAGAGACTCATATAAATCAATGGAAATTGTAAAATGTTAAAAACAATTCTCGACATGGATACTGGAGAACTGGTTGATTCGCAAAGTCTGAAACTACTGCAATTGGATTTTAAAACATTCCTTTTTAAGAGACCTTCGTGTTAAGTAAATGAATAGCTGAGACCTTGCAAGACGTTCATAAGCTATCAGCAGCAGGACTGAGACCCAAACTGGACAGTAGTAAACCCACATTGTTAGAATGGCAGTTAGTCTTGTTCACTGTTTTACCGTGCGTGAGGGTAAGGTTAAAGGGGGCCAAGGTGAAGTGTGGGTGGTGCGTGTTATAGTCTCCTTCCACTAGCTACTTTTATCCCTTGTTCATCCATTCAGGTGGCTTTACTTAGGCATGCCTCGGTACCAAAAATGAATCATGCTACAAGAAAAGAACCTGGGAAGAAATATTCGAAGTGTGGCTCAGCCCTATACTAAATAAGCTTCAGTTTACACAGTCTATGATTGTGAGCAGCCCCACGACCACTATACATACCAATGAGGCATACGCACATTAAACACCTAAGGCCTGTTGCTCACATGTGGTATGGGCATCAACCATACATAACCATAATAGGTTTTGAACAAAATCCCTAAAAGCAGTAGCTGTATTTATTTGATGAAGGGGAGATTAAACATTATTATGTTCATTCAATACTCAGTTAAAATCTGCAAGTACATCCTTAAAATAAATAAAGAAAACAGCTTACGCTTGATCCTTGCTGATGGAAACAATGACACAATCTGAAGGTCTGTCTTTGTCATATTCTTTCTCTATCTGCTGGTAAAATTGCAGGTACAGCTTGTCCCGATGAACATCCTTGGTGTAGTCATCATCTAAAGAAACATCCAGACATAATGAAGTGGATTACTCTCTTTCTTGTCAAAGAAACAGCTTCAGTGTAAAAATGACAGTGCATTTCAGTGGCTCCCAAATGAAATATTTTTTCCTAAGCCAAGTAATAGGACTAAGAAGCACAATCCAGATGAGACCAATTCAGGGTGGAGGGGGGCAGGATGTGTACCACTTCTTAATTACATGCAAGGTAAGCCATCTTACCTTTTTGAGAATATTGGTATCTCTCATAGTTCTCTTCATTTCCTGTTGATGGATGATACTGTTGGCCAAAGAGTTCTTCAAAGCTATGCATGTAGCACACAAAAAACGAATCAGGCAAATTAAAACAGCTTTTTCTGCAAGTAGGGAAGTTTGAATCAGTAAAACTCAAGCTTGCCAAAATTCTCTGAATTCCCTCTTAAAGCTCATTCTGACTCAAGTCCATTTCCAATTGTTTTTTTTTGGGGGGGGGGTTGTTTCCACATAGAAATCCTTGCATATTTTTCCAAATGCATGCATCAATTGTGAGCATCTTTGAAATGTATGCATCCATCTCCAATTAATTAATGTGTAGTTGTCTTTTTTTTCAAACGTATACAATGTTTCACACACATTATTTAAATACATGCATGCCATTAAATACATTTGCTTCAGTCTGTGAATCACACTGCAAGCTTGGAAATGTAAAGACTACAACTGCAGATTTCTCCAAGTTCAGCTCAGAAGGTGCCAACTAGGTAAATCTTGATTAAAACTAAGCTGAAAAAAAAATCTCTTCATACATCCCTATTTAAGAGGAATTGCTACCATATATCAGCATACCGGCATGGGTAGGTAGGAGAGGACATCAATGCATAATCATTATTTTTGATAAAGCCCACTGCTGAATATCTATGGAAATGATGTCAACAAAAAAATGATAAATCTGGCTATAAGAGAAAGGTGTGGTAGGGTACGTGCTGGATTGGACTGTTAAGGAAAGCCTCTGGCTTTCAATTTGAAGCAGACATTACTTGTGTGAAAATATAAAATTAACATACAATCATATGGGAGTGTACATTGCTGGGTATCAGACACATGTTGATGCTTGTTTTCTTGTTTAACTGAATTTGTTTAGGAGATTTTGCCCACTGATCCTAGCCTCCACTTAATTTGCTTGGTGGCAAACGTTCTGCACTGAAAGCAAATCACTAAATAGAAAACAGAGATATAGGAACCTGCCTTCTAGCATGGCAGACCCATTGAGCTCAGTATAGCCTGCTCTACCTGGTGCTGGCTGCCTAGCATCTCAGAGTTCTGCATCACTTCCCACCTGATCCATCTCCAACTGGAGATATAAGGGACTGAACTTGGGATATTCTGCATGCAAGGCCTGTGCTTTCTCCACTGAGAACTCCAGGTTAGAGCAATTTCAGGTGTGCACTAACAGTATGAAAACTTGTATCATCTGAATAGTGTTAGGCACCATATAAAAAGGCTACAGCTTCTCCAGGAATCATGCTATCCCAAAAGCTATCCTTAGTTGTGAGTGTTACACAGGTTGCAAAGATGATGACAACAAAGTTGCGTGCGTGTGTCAGCGTGGGGTGGGGACGACCTGAGATCATCAATTATCTTCCAGCTGCATAAAACAGTTCTCGCATGAACATTTAGTTCAATCGATCATTACTGATCTTGAGCTCTGGGTAGTGTCAGGATATGCAGAGTAGTGTGGCTCTCCCTGGTAGCTTTTGGAAAGCAGGCAAGCTGGTTCACCTTGCAAGTACTTATAGGGCTTGTATCCAGTCTGCAGATGCTTGTAGGGATTAGAGCCACTGCAATCCTGGAAAACAGCTGGAAGCCACAGGAGAGACTATAAAAGGCTGCTCAGCCCTGCTAGTTTTGCCAAAGCAATTTGAGTCTTCATGGTCCTGAACTGGCATCTTGCAACAGATGTACCCTGCCTCTGGTTCTACCACACCTTTGCCAGATACCTGATCCTAGTTTGCGCCTGACTTTGCTGTTGGTCTGGTTCCACCATACCTTGTTGGCATCTGACCCTTTCCTGCTCCTGACTTTGTCCTTGGCATTGCATCTCACCAAGACTTCTATCTACTTTCACTGTCCCTGGTTCTGATGCTTCACTCACAGAATACCTGCTGCTTATATTCTAGAGCTGACAGCTAGTGGAAGTTCAAATAAGTACCAAGGAAAAGCCTTCCAACCTGTTTGCATCTTCATAGTCCTTTGAATAACCATCCGGAGGGGAGTAAGAGCTCTTCTGAAAGGATTTGTAAGGATTTATGCTGAAAGGAGCAAGAAATGCAAAGTAAGTATTATCAGACGAACCATTTGGTTGCAGTAGAAGCCTTTAAATTTATACTGATATGAAGAGGATGGCAAATTTCCTCCATGGAATCCTGAATCCTACTTCAGGCAGTACAGAATGGGGCTTGAAACTTTCTCTCACCCGGCAAAACATTGAAGGAGGATAACAGGGACAATGGCTCCTGCATCACTCAGTGATGATGAATCCTGCCAGTGCAAAGGACAAGATCTGTCGCTGTCCCTCTCTCAGTTCCATCAAGCTTCTTTGAGTGTTGGGGACAAAGGGACACACCACACACTTCAGTGGCCAAGCATATCCCTGACAGGAGCTCTTTACAGAAGTTGATACAGTGAACATAAGCATAAGAGGGTAATTTTCAAAAGAAAATCATATTAGTGTAACTTATGTGGACAAGGAAGGAGAATGCATTTTGGACGATGGTATCCTGAAAATGCATCCCCAAATGAAATAAAGGATCTTTCTTGTTTATTAACCAAGTATTTAAAAAAGCATTCTTACAAGTAAGTGTTCGCAGTTTTCGTTCTTAAAAAGCACATGTCATTGCTTACTTACTCCAGAAGTCTTGGAATCCACCCGGGTCTATGCCTGGAACCAAACCAAACCAAAACAAACCCAGTGTAAATGTTATACCACAAGTCACAGTTCTTATATCAATGCTATAATAAACAGGACAGATTTTTTCTGAACATACATATTTTATATAACCACAGCATGGAAAGAATAGAAAAGAAGCGCTATTTTTAATTTTTGTCTGCCTTTTGCATGTGCACTCTTATGACTATCAGAAATATGTAGTTTGCCTGATCATTTTCCTTGCTCGTTCCCACTGTCAGTGAGGACTGGGAGGTGGAATAAGTAAGATACGAGGAAAGTGAGGGGGCAAGACTGTATACAGCTGCTAAGGGTCAAATTAAAAGCACCGGGGGGGGGGGGGGGGTGGTAATGGCTGGTGCATCCAGAAGGGAGAGAGGCCACTTTTTCCCTTCAGGAAATATGATTCCCTGGTTAAACTGACACTTCTTAGTCCCCTCCATCTTTTCAACACTTCCCTGATTCTCCTATTCCAGAAAGGGAAGATACTCATCCCTTTTTGGAATGCTTACTGTGGGTCTCTCGACTGTCAAAAAGCAAATAATTTAAGCAAATATAATGTCTAAGTAGTAAATGCAGGGGAAATTTATGTACCGTTACAAAGAATCCTTCTCCATTTACTTTCCAGCCATTACATTCATATATTCCCCAGTCCAAAGAATTGTATAAAAATTATCAACTGGGTTTTTTTAACCCTTACCAAAGCAGCAGACTGGGATATGGCAAATGGGGTACTAGCAGTAGCTATATCCTGCAGATCTGGCCCCTTTTCGGTGGCGGAGGCAGGGGAGGTTTTCAAATGTCAGGGGCACAGAAGCGTGAAAAGTGGAGGCAGGTATCCAGTAGCTTCCATTTCCCGAGAAGTTGGAAAGTCAGGGGAATGCCAAAAAGGTGGAAGGGCACTAAGAAGTGTCAGGATCATGCTGTTAAGCAGGAGATACGGTATGCCCTCTCTGTGTGCACTTCCTTTTGCCTTTTTTCATGCTTCGCAATGGAAAACTCTGCCACTCTGTTGCCGTCCCTAGTAAGTCTGGACAAATTTGCTTATCTGCCTCACCCATTTCCATGTGCTTTACCCACTATACTTTGCCACTCCCTTCCACATGCACGGAACTGATGTGGCAAGACAGTGAGTCTACTTATGTATATGCTTGTGGGAGAATGATAGAAATAGGTCTTTAAACAATTATGAACATCTTTGTATAATTTTCTGGGGTGGATTTTTTAAAGGACTGGAGAATTTTGATCGTCATTCCAAAGTCTTGCTTGGGCATTGGTGGAGGAGCTGTCCCTGACAGTGCCAAGGGTGAAATGGTGAAGCGTAACTGCTTGCTAGCAGATCCCTACCACCCACAATGAAATTATTCTTCCAGGCCCAGAAGACATGGCAACCTACTGTAGATTGAAAAAGCCCTAAACAAGCCATAGGTTGTCAAGGTGATTTTCTGCCAAAAAACAACCTTTGCTGGGTGAAGCTGTCTGGATTTGAATGATACGACAAGCCTCCATGGCTAGACACCCTTTTGAGAGTTTCAGCTATCGGTGCAACACAAATGTGATAACTGAAATGAATAAACACAAAGAGAGGCAAAGGTAGAGCCAGCTATGTCTGACAGCTTTAATTGGGATTTTTAAAAAGCAAATTGTGCTGTATTAAATACAGTGAAAGAATAAGAAGTTAAGAAATGACAATTAAGGAATTTCAAGATGCTATTCATAGCAATGAATTCTCATGCAGTTCCCCCAAACCAAATATATTGAAGTACTTTTAATTCTAAGTATTATATAATCATATATGGGGAAGACACCAAGTCTCAGCAACTTTTCTTTCACTTTCCGGATGAGCCTAAAAATCTAGTTGCTCAGTATATTTTTGCTTAAGCTGCCAGGTATGGGTAGAGAAGCCTAACACAAACAGGCTGACAGATGTACAGTCAAGAAATGATCTGTCAAGTACCAGAGACAACATAAGGACAACAGCTGCTTAGTCTTGCTTCATTTACTGTTAACTATTTCTCAAGTACAGATAAAACATATTCAGTTCTGCTGATGAAGAAACAGTTTAACACTGAACATGAAAACCCGCATGTTGGACCCTTTTCAGATCTCAGGCTGAGGCCCCTCTTAACACACAAAGAATATACTACCCTGGGAGCTGAGGAGGGCCATGTGCATTTGTTTGTCCAGCACTTTAACAGTACTAAATAAAGCATTCAACTTCAACCTTTTAGGCTACGAAAAGTTTCTTGTTAAGTCCTCCTTGGTGCAAAAGTGCCCCACTGGGCCAGGCATTTAACATGCACTGGTTGGAGACAGAAGCAGGGATGGGGTGGGATCCCTCAGACCTACCAACACTGCCAAGGAATATGCTGCAATAACAGCAGCAATTTACGGAAGCCCAGCACAAGGCAAGTGTGTGTTTTTTTTTTTTCCTGGAAAAGGGTATACTTAAGAGGACTACTTATGAAGATCAGGATTCCTCACCAACACACCAGTTGCTAACAGCTAGCTGAGGATGCTACTTTTAGTTCCTAAAATAGAATGAAGGTTATTACCATTCTTCAGCAAAACCAATGCTGCTAGTGCTTCTCCTCTGCATCAAGAACTTGTCTCATCTGTCTCAAATATGTCTTACCAGAGAGTGAATCTAATGTTTAAAAACCCAACTGCTATGCCTTTCTCACTCAATAGGATAGCACAGTTGCAGGAGGCCTAAAATTATGCTGAGAATTCACAACCTCTCTGTGCAGTAGCTACATGGGAATCAGTCATGAAAACTGATCATGTCATGAAACTGATATTAGTGTGTCCCATTACTTTGTATTTCCCCATGTCACTGCAAGGCAACACGCGCTTTGCCGTCTAGCCAGAAACCACAAAACGTTGTCAATTTAAATGAGATTAAGATTAGGAAAGGGCTCTATAGCTCAGTAGAAGAACACATTCTATGCATTCAACAGTCCCAGTTTGGGGGGGAAATTCTGCCTTAACACCTGGAGACTGCTGTCAATCAGTGTAGACAGTCATGAACATGATGGACCAATGTTCTGACCTGCATGAAAAAGAAGCCTCCAACATTCTTAGCACTAAGTTGTTTGGGTGGTTAAAATTCCTAGTCAAACCTAAGCATGATATCAACATATTGAAAGGAGAATGCTGGATGAGGTGGGCCGTTAGTTTGATATAGCAGTTAACTCTTAAGATAAGTCCCTTTTACTTGACTGAGAGGTATTTTTACAATACATTTCATACGCGATTTGGCTAACATTTAAAATGCAGTCTGTAATAGGTCTCGGGTAGAGGAATACCTTTTTGTATATTCAAATAGGGACATTAACGGAACATAGAGTACTGAGCTGTCACATCAGGATGGTGTTAGCGCTACTCACTCCTCTTTTGCTTCACCTGCTTCTAACTCCACAAGCAAAGCAGGAAACGATAGCTGTGTGTTGTGTCGGAACCCAAAACAAGCCAGGTCACAATGAACTACAGCTTGTGGCTGACTTATGGAAACTGGATTGTTTGGAAGCAACAAATGTGGATCCTGGATTCAGATGCAACATGCTGTGAGTTTGCACACCATGACAACCCATTAGGGTAAATCACTGCAATGGGCTGTCCTGAAGTGTCAAGCGGTAACCATGAGTCTGGCAGATGTTTAAGCTCATTGCAGCTGCTTTGCTCTTCCTGTCACCTCCTCCCTTCTCACTCCTCCAGGCAGAATTCCAGAGGACACCAGGGTGAGGAATAGGGCTCCGTTCTTTGAGAGCCCAATTGTGAGCCAAGTCTGGCTCAGTGCAAGTGTCAAGCAATCTTTGCTGCACAGAGCTCACACCCTCCAGTGCAGCACAGAGGCTGGGGGGACACCTTCAAAGGCACAATGGAGGATGGAAGCAATCAGCTGGACTGTGGCACAGAAAACAGCCGTGTGGCTCAGCTGATTCCTCTGCTCCTGCCTGAGGAACTTTCTGAGCAAAGAAGGGTAAGCACAGCTTAGGCTGGGACATTCTGAGACTGAAAACCCCTGCCAACTCAGGTTCTCCCTTCCCAGCTCTCATTTCATTAGCTTTGTCTGGAGCACAAGTGAAAAGGGGGGCAAGCCCACCCCTCCCGGCCCCTTCCTGGGAGAAAGGTACTCCAGCAGGTGCTGGCTTAAGCAACCCAGAATGCACCAAAGTGCCTTTTTCCCAAGCAGCAGCAAAAGGGGGGCAGTGCTTGCCCCCGTCTTCATTCCTGCTCCAGAGGAGGATGCCCTGGTGGGCATGAGGTTAGAGAAGCCCAGCACACATCAGAGCACCTTTCCCCCAAGCAGGAGTGAGGGGAGCATTTGTCCCCTTCTTCCTGAAGCATGTTTTGCCAAAGGCGAAGGGTTCTTTTTGGATCCAGAAGCAATGAGCACACAGGTGGGTTAAAGTCTAATGATTTTATTCTAAAGCAGTCACAATAATGTAAACAAACATAACAACATGGAGTGGGGGGGGGGAGGAAATACAATACCAAGCAAGCTGGCTTTCCTCAATCAGCCATTGGGAGCCCCACTTCACGAATAGCAAGGAAAAAAAACCCCAATTTGACTGGTGTGCAACACCTTCCTCCCTTGGCTAGGTCTATACTCAAGCTCACCTTAGGCAGAGCCACAAGGCTTGTTTTTAAAAAATCCTAAATCTTAAGAGTGTTATGTGCTATAGAAAACTACATGCTAATCAAAACAGTTAATTGGCCACATCTGCTGTTCGCAGGCCTCATGATGATAAACTCCAGTTTTCTGCATTTCAAGGTCGTACCATCCTAATCAGCAAGTGGCTTAGAATAACACTCTTTTGCATGCCAGAGAGTCTCAACTGAGTTTTTTTTTGGGGGGGGGGGGGCTCTGTTTTTAAGGTAGGAATAGAAGGGCAATTGTGTCATACCACCCAATCTCCTTGATATACAATAGTCTTCCCGTGATTTTCCTCTACAAGGCAGCATTACTCAATTGATTCTTCATCCTGCCCCCCCCACCTACACCTGCAAGGTTTTCTCTCACAGATTGGTGGGAGGGGGAAAATCAGCTTAGAGGTGCTGCCCTGGTTGGGGGCATCGCTGCCCAGCAAATTCTCTCCCCTCCAGCTCATGTGAGAGGTTATGGACAACACAACAAACATTGTGGTAAGGAGAACCCCTAGAAGAGACTGCTGGGTCTTACTGTGGTTAGCAATCATGATAAGTCAGAATGGTCAATCTTCATGCATTTGGTCAGCATGACAAGCAACTATATATATATATATCACATCACTGGGTGCTTGTTATGTCATGCAAACCCAGTCAGTGTTTCCTCGCTTCTTCCCCTGTTCATAAGAGCAGGAAGCACAAGCATGCAATTCAGTGACATTAAGCCAAGATAAGCCATGAATCCTTGCTTATCATTATGGGAAAATGTGGGCATTAACACTAATAAATAGGGAATAAACAAAAAGTAGAAAACACATTAGAAAGTGAACAATTTATAAAAGGTTTACATTTGTGCTGGTATCTATGCATAAAATACTCAGTGACGTCAATGGGATTATCTCTTGTATTATTAAATGCAAACTTCAACCTATTTAGAAAATCACCAAAGCAGCATAGATTGTATTATTGTTAAATAAAATGATAATTACATTGGAAAAGAATGAAGTGCATTTTACTAACTCTCTAAAGTGGAACTATCTATAAAATGATGTGTTGTCAGCTTCCAGAATTATGAAAAATTTAACGAATCCCTTTTTTAAAGCCTGTAGAACATACATATAAAAAGAAAATTAAATTTTGTTTTTACCTCTTTTCCGGATCAGGCGTTTGTGCTTGGTTTGTGTTTACTTTGACCCATGAAGACATTTTAGTTTCTAAACAGAAAAAAAAAACCTCTATCATTTTCTTCAGAATGATGTTTTAAAAATATTCCCACAGTACATTATACCATCAAAGCTTATTTATTCCTGCATTCCCCTGTGGTTTACAACTTGCTTAACTTATTCAGAACAACCTTTCCCTCCCTGGGGAGTACCATTCCCTAAGTGAGATACTATGGGGGCAGGATGTGATCCTGTTATAAGTGGATGCGCAGCAGAGATGACTTTTTGGTCCCCTCTACCTCAATGGTTTATATATCCTATATGGACTCACACATTGCTTCCATGCCAACACAGTAGAAAAGTCACATACTTGTTCTCTTTCTCAGGGGAACATGTGCCTAGAAAAGCACACCATTTAATTACAGACTTCCCATTCAACATGATTATATATATTGTAGGAAAAAAACAGCACTGCAAATACAGATCAAGATAGTATGGAGAGGTTTTACTTAAGCCAAGGAGAACATGTAACAAAAGATCCGGTTAAGATACCTAGAAAGGGAAACCTACTCTTAAAAAAACTGAGTGAAGAATTTAGAAAGTCTATCATATGAAAGTGAAAATGACCTTTACAGCCTAAAAATGGCCCTCCTCTATAGATCTTCCCTAGTCCGAAAGCATGCCAATAGATTTAACCCCATAACCCTATATTCTCCTGTTTCAAAGACCCCCAAAATACCAGTTCTTCCTATTGGTGCTGCTCCAATAGGGCTGTTCTCTTGCTTGGGTTAGAGCTGCTGAAGCAAGGGAAAAAGAAGAAAGAGCAAGCAAAGGTGTTTCAAAAAGAAATCTTGGGAAGCAATACACTGCAAAAGGAGGGTTTTCTCCTCCATTGCCTCAATAGCTCTGGGACCTTTTGCTGGGATTTAAAGAGCATGGCTGGTTTTGTATTCACACAAACACACACAGCACTTAGAAAGGAAAAGGACCACCCATTCATCAGAAAAATACACAGCAGGCACAAGCTCTAGCCCCATGTGATCCTGGCAGCAAAATTCCCATTACATCTTACTCTGTATTTCAAGAGAGAGAAATACCAAGAATTGCAGCATTCATTCTTCACTCACACAGGCTAATCCAGAATACTAAGTCCTTCTCTTCGAATTCAACTCTCCCCCAACATGGCCCATGGCCTAAAAATCCCATTCTAGTCTGGGGGTTTATGGCTATGGCACTAAAACTGATATATTACACACGATACAAGCCCTAGGCTTGCACACAACTTGCATTAAAAAAAAAGAATTCAGCAAAGAATAAAACAGTGCAGAGCAGGTCAGAAATTGCTGTGTATTTGAATACCTGCTGTTGCAGTTCCTCTTTACGTAGATATATATATACACAAACACCCACATCTCCACGCTATATATAGGCACAAAGCGCATATATATTCATAAGCATCCAGTGGGGCCTAGCGGGGCAGGGCGTCGCGAAGCTCCCCGGGTGGCCCGGGCCGGTCATCCTCGCAGCCTGCCCTACCTCACCGGGCTGTTCTGAGGGTAACATGGGACGGCAGGAAAGCAGCAGGAAGGCAGCCCCGAGCTCCTGGCGGAGGCCTCGGGATAAGCCTCGTCATACCCCCGATCGAAGCAACCGGGGACACGGATTTCCCCCTGCGAAACAGACACTGCCCCGACCTCGGCTCCGAGACCCCTGTCCTCGCCCCCGCTCAGACTCGCCGCTCTTCGGCGCCACCGCCCGCGAGAAGCCGGGCCCCGACTCACCCACGCGGAGCTTCCAGGGCCCTTCCCTCGCTGCCCCGAAGCCGCGGCCTCTGCCCCGTCCCTTCCCGTCCCCTCTGCCCGAGGCGCGCCTGCCCGGAGCCTACCGCGGCAGAACGACGACAACGACGGCAGTAGCAGCGGCGGCGGGGTGAGTTGAAGCCCGACACGCTACCGCCCATCCCCAACTCCTCCTCTTCCGCGGGAGGGCGGCCCGGAACATCCCACGGGCCGGCCGGGCGGTGCCTCGCACAGCGCCCCCAACGCGCGGGCCGAGCGCGGCCGGAGGAGGCGCCGTGGCGGCGAGGCCTAGTCGGGCGGCCGGCCCGGTTTCCGTGGCAACCGTGCGGCCTTGCGCGGCCCGGCCGCCTCGCCTCGCCTCGCCTCGGGTCTCAGGACGCCCATTTCTCCAGCATATACGCGCCACCGCATATTAGGAGCGGCGTCCTGGTGCCCCCTCCTTATATTGGGCTCCATAGAGGCTCCAATCATGTGCATCCTTCCTGGGAGAATAAGCCCCCCGAAACTCAGTGGACCCCCGAAGAAACATAAGGTGGGCGACCCTGCTGAGTTTCTCATGTTGGGCGCAATCCTGTGCATGCCCTCGCAGGCTCGCGTCTATCCGCTTTGGCCTCACCGTTTTGTTATTCTCAGATTGCACGCCATGTCTTGCCCTTTTCCCCTCCTGTGAGGAGGCTAAAGACGCTTACAGGGTCCACTTCCACTCCATTTGTCCCTGACAAGGCGTGTAACCAAATAACTGCGCAGCTGCTCTGACCTGAGAGAGGTTGGGAAAGTCAGATAAATCCTGGCAAAAAAATTAAACCTGCACCCCTTTCTCGGGAAGTAGCAGAATGAAAACCAAGTTACTGATTAACATTGCTGTTCTTTTAAGAGACTGGAACTCAGAACCTGAGAGTGGCTATTCTTGTGCTGATGCCAACAAAACTAATAAGGCTGCCAGAGGAAGGGGGCGGTTGGCATTGTTGCAATCACCCTAATTTGCCTGATCAGACTCGCAGCCAAGGCCCAACATAATCGCTGTGCCTCAGTGATTGTTACATGAATCTCTTGTCATCAATGCTATTAAGTCTCCTGCAGATTTCTCACATTCTTTTTCACCATGTTCCCCTTATTCATCATCACTTGCCCTGCTTGTACATGTAACTCAGAACCTATATTTTACACCACGTGGCAGTTCAAATCATGGGAAGTTAAGCTGTGCACATTTTCTTACACTTCCAATGTGTTTCAGTGCTGCTTGCTCCCAGTAAGTGCACATCATCAAACATTATTGAAGATGCTAATTCCCATGAGAAACCTCCTAAAGTTGCTTGGTGGGAAGTTCAGATAGATAAAAAGTTCAGAAGATAAAAAGAAGCATGTATAAAGTGCATAGTTAGACTATGGAATTAACTTCCACAGGGTGTAGTGACGAATTTGGAGGCTTAAAAAGGGAATTGGAAAAAATGGGGCAAACTATCAATGTTTATTAGTTCTCACAGTTCCAATGACAGAGGCTGTACTTAGTTGCTGGGGAACATGGCCAGGAAAGTTTTGTTGTGCTCATAATTTGCTTTTGGGTTCCGTATATGCAACTGCTGGCCACTGTATGAACAGGATGCTGGACTACTTGTAACTTGGTCTGATCCAGCATTGCTCTTACTTTCTTTCATATTCATCCACGATGTAAAGAAGTCAAAGTGGTTTCAGTCTTGCTGTCTCTTACACAAGCAGTGTTGGCTAATAAAAATATACTGGTTCGTTTACATGATCTTTTATTATTTTTGCTTCCTTCTGTTTTAATAACTGGTCTGTAAATGTTTATGTTTAATAGCCACTCTGTGTCTGTGTATATCTTCAAACAAACGCTAACAGTTAAGTAATGTCACCCCAGCTTCCGCAAAGAGGTATCAGCAGCGAGCGGCTTGGGGATTTTTTGGTCGTGTTTTTGTTTTGTATCGGACTTTCCAAATTCCGGCTCCCTTCAAAGAGGCGCTGATGAAGGACGGCCAATCATTGCAATACTCCTTCGTAGTACGCATGCGCTGCTATGCTTTGCCCTTTTCCTTGAACCGGTCTTCCTCGGCTTCTTGCCCTCACGGAAGCTTGTCCAATGAGCTTAGGGCTTGCTGAATAGCAGGCGACCCGGGGGGGAATATATCCAATGGGAAAGGGTGATGCTTTCGATGATGTGAAGGAAGTTCGAGAGCTACCGTCGATGCATGGAAGGGAGGAAAAACACAGGCTTTGCTGTGCGTCAGGGGCCGCGGCTCTGAACGGTGGGGAACTACAAGTTCCCCTTACTCCTTCCCCCCTGCAATGAACTCCCTGGAGCAAGCGGAAGGTAACTGGGGATCCCCTTCTGGGGGGCTGGGGGGGCTACAAAAGTAGCAGCAGCTCTCCAGGGAAAGCACCCTTTGCTTCCCTCTCCGCATCCCAAGACGAATTTCTGGGCTTACAAGCAGCTTGAGAGGGGAGCGAGACAGCAAAAAGCTGGACCTTCCCAATGTGGTCTGTCTTATTTAGGCTGGCTGTGGGGAATGCTGAGAGTTGTAAGGCGCTCCCCCCCTTTCTAAACACGCACAGGGTCGCGCCCTTAGTTAATGAATTCAGGCTGCATGGATTGAACTTTGTTCGCCCACTTCCCTGTACGATGGGCATCTTCCCAGCTGGCCCCCGTTGCTGTGCCTTTCCGCATTGTCAGAGGAAATGTTTCTCTTCCTGGCTTCAGAACCTAACTCTGTCTATTTCGGCAAATCGGGGGGCAGTGAAACAGGCAGGAACAAATCTGGATTGCTTGGGGTGGCAGCGGGAGGGGTCATTCGTAAGCCTACATCCGTGTCGAAAAGCATAGCATTACTGAAGTCAGGGACAAGTAAGAACACAAGAGCCATACTGGATCAGACCAAAGGCCATCTAGTTCAGAATGCCCTTCATACAGTCGCTGAACAAGTGGGACACGAATGCATGTAATTCCTCCCTTATGCCCAAGACCCTAGCAACTGGTGTTCCTAACCTGACGCCAAAAGTAGCATGCAGAGGTGGTCATCAGGACGTGTAGCCATTGTTACCTTCATGAAGTATTGGGCTACCTTCATGAAGTTATTTTGGACTTGTTAAGGATACTCCTTTACTCCTAAATGGCTTAGGCCTTGGTTACCTTAAGGAGCAGCTGCACCCATATGTGCCTACCTGCCCTTTGAGATCTATGCAGGAGGCCATCCTGTGTGAGCCATCCCCTAGGGAAGTCAGAGGGATGGCTGCTAGGAGGGCCTTTCCTGCAGCTGCTCCTTATATTTGGAATGCTCTTCCCAAGGAGACTCGCCTGGTGACTTACATTCTTTTTGGCACCAGGCAAAGACCTTCCTTTTAATAGCTAATGCCACTCAAACTTTTAAAATCGTATTTTATTAACATTGTATTTTTAAGTGGTGTATTAGTTTTTAATAGTGTTTTATTTCATGACTGTGAGCCGCCTAGAGTTGCTGTGGCACAAATGGGTGGCATACAAATGTTTTAAATAAATATTGTTGAACATAATAAAATAAAAATAAAATTTTGAAATACTTTTGCTGGGAAGGTAAAATGTGTATCTGGTCATAATTAGGGAAATAAAGTCATTTCGTAACCATGCAGGAATGGTTACTAAAATCTTTCGACTTTGCAGAAATTGGTATCTTGACCTGATGCCATTTATAGATGATTTGGCTCAGGTAAAATAAGGAAGATAAATGGATTTGGCTTGTTATGTATTGCTCTTTGCATTATGGAGCTCTCAGAATGAAGAGGAATCTATTTGGATTTTTTGGAGTGTAATTTGGTAAAGAAAAAAATGTGTATGAATATCATGTGTATGTCTGTCAGAGCCATAGCTCCATGGTCATGAAACCTAGGCACCTGAAATTTGGCATGCATTCCGCAGGGACTTTGGGGAGGTACAACAAGGGATTGTTATTGAAATGCATTAATTAATTTAGGGCTCAGTCCTAGGCATCCCTAGACAGAAAAATAACCTATAACCCCCAGTACTCTTCAGTCAGGCAAACTTGCTGGGGAATGCTGGAGGTTGTAAGGCATTTTCTGTCTTGAAGAGCAATCTTATGGCTTTTGTCCAGCATCTGGGGTGACCTCCTGTGCACTCATAAACAGAACACTGAACATGAATGAGGAGATTTGATCATGGATCTTCTTTTCCCCATGTAGCCATTTTTCCTATTTGCAACAGAAACTTCTAAGCCTAACTAGATTTCTGTCTTGGTTCCTCTTTCAGATCTCAAGGCTTTTGAAAGGCGGCTTACTGAATATATAGCTTGTTTACAACCAGCAACTGGACGGTGGAGAAGTAAGTCCAAGGCACACCAACAATAGCTATTTGCATGTAACAACTTGTATTGAATTGTAGCCCTAAGTTCTTAAGGAACATTTTTTGGAAAAAGGGCACTATATATTTATTGCATGATTAACAGTAAGAAATATCTAAGAAATACGGCATAAGACTTTGGAACTTATTACCTAAGAAGACTACAACACAATAGTTTTCTGGGCTGCTGAAAGGAGTATGTCTTGAAAGAAAAAGGGATGAAGATGGCTATTTTTGTTTCAGTAGAACAACAATTCCATGGCTTATTATTTATTTTTAAATTCTATAATAATATTTGCAATGATTTTGAGCAATGAACATATCATTTACTTACTATAAAGTAGATAAGTATTCGAGATAGAAACAGGCCATCCTGTTTAAGGCTAAGCAGGATTTTAATCTGGATTTCTCATATCCAGTAGGTTTCATCTCACTAGTTCTTAGCTATATATGCACAATAAAAATAGTGTCTATCTGCCTATACATTATTCAATACAGCTGTGCTGATTCTAGAGAAATCTATTTATGCTTGGATATTAAAGAGAAATTACTCCTGCATTGAATGCTCATGCATTGGAGAAGAATCTCTTGGGCATAGAAATTCTGCCGTAACTTGCTTGTCCAATAAAACAAACAAGATAAATCTTCATCAATTTGTGTCTACTGGGTTAGCATAGAACAATCTTGTGAAATGGGCGAATGCCCATTTCTTTAAAATAAAGAGAGGTGAATAAAGTTCTCTGAAATGGATTCCTATTAATTTTATTGCAATATAACCAAGTTAGGTTTGTTAATATGTTGTCCTTTTTAGTAACTCAGTTCTCATCTTTTCTATAAATTATACACTGTATATTATGTACATATCATACATAAATGTTATGTAAACACTTTCATTTTTCTGTCAGTCATTCTTATAGTGGTATCAGTCTGTACAGCAACTGGTGCTTGGAACTGGCTCATAGATCCAGAAACACAGAAGGTAGGTAATACCTCTCTAAGAGGTCTGATACTTTAATACATTCTTACTTAATTTATTCGAACATGTGGAATAGACTGTCTCATGTTCGGTGTATTTAACCAGGTATTGTAATTTTTTGTTAATGGCTATAGTTCCCTTCTGACTCAAGCTGAATACAGTAGTTTGTGTTGATATATTATTTCAGCCTTGGAAAAAGAGCCCAAGTGTAGGGACTGCAACCAGAGATCTAGCAGTATGTGATTTTTTGCCTGTCAGATTGTAACTTATTTTTTTTATTTTTTTATTTAGGGAACTTCTATGCCGCCCCGTCTGCCGAAACCTTGGGGCGGCTCACAAACATAAATAAGTAACATCCTATAAAACAATATAAATTAAGTCACCCTGGCCAAAGAACAAAATAAATAAATAATATTAACAATTAAAATAACTTTTGAATAAAAAGGTCTTCGCCTGGTGCCGAAAAATAATGACGGCGCCAGGCGGACCTCTCTGGGGAGCACATTCCATAGATTGGGCACCACCGCAGAGAAAGCCCTCCTCCGAGTACTTACCCTCCTAATTGTCGGAATAATGTCCAATTAGAATTTATTAATTAATTCTAATTAGAATGACAGCATTTAATAGAGTAACTCCAGTAAGGTGAAGCAGATTGGTGAACAAAACATTTGAGACTTGAAGTGGTGACATTTCCCTTCAAGTTGTCCACAGCAACTGAGCAAATGTGCTCGAAAACCCCCCAGAATATTTTAATTTTGGGTCATCTCTTTAAAACAACACAGTATTTACCAAAGAATTTGGTTCTCTCCTAGGTATCCTTTTTCACATCTCTATGGAATCATCCATTCTTCACAATCAGCTGTATTACTCTGATAGGGTTATTTTTTGCTGGAATACATAAAAGAGTGGTGGCCCCCTCAATGTATCCTTTACATTGGTTGTTTTGTTTTAAGCAAAATGTTGTGCGCACTTACACAGTTACTGTTGCTTGTTTAACCCTGCACACGCACAGAGCCCCTACTTGAAAACTGTTTAATGGCCATGGAACTGGAGAATCGGGGGGAGGGGGCGGGGTAGTTTTACTCTTCAGCATCGCATATAGATGTGCTTCCATCTCTTTGCTTGTTACTACAAAAACATACATACACACGTCTCACCATGGAGGATTGTTGTATTTCTTTGACATATTCTGTGCAGCATAGCAGCTCGATGTCGAACAGTCTTGGCAGAATACAACATGTCTTGTGATGATGTAAGTGGCTTAGCTTTCTCTGGCTGAATCTGTCGAGTCTTGGAGCTGGGAGTACAACTGCACTGTTTCGTTTAACAGGATTGCATCTTACAGGTTTAATAAATCCTTCTGTTTGTCTCCCTCATTTCCATCATCCACCCCATAAATGGTATTTTGCAAGAGACTTTTCTTTGCCGTTTTGCCCAAGATGCTCCTGGTTTCTTCCTTCTCCATTACTAGGAGCAAGAGCTGAGGCAATTTATTCTGCATGGTAGGAGAGGTTTGAGACTGCACTGCATAATAGTCTCAGTGCCTATGTTTGCAGATGCCCTAGTGGCTACATTACCCAATATGAAATGTACGGATCATACAGAATTATCAAGGAAGGGAAGAACAGCTGGATTGGATACGATGCTGCAAACCAAATGTGAACAGGTGGCCCCAAATTTGGCAAAGCTTTTCTAGTAATTCTACGAGTTTTTTATCCAGAGGTCTGGGACTGGGGTGTGTGTGTTTGTCCACAAATATTATGTGTGTGTATATGAGACAGAGAGAGAATATAATCATCAAATGCTTGGGAAGTAATTGCAGTAATGACTCAGCCAATTGTTGCAGTGACGTAAAAATGTATTTCTCTTCTCCCCAGACTGGAAAGCTAATATTGAAACCCCGGCTTCACGTCCAGTAACTCACTGTCTTCCTTCAACTCCATCCACTGTCTCAGATACATTGGAAAAGGGGAGAGAGACTTTTTTCAATATAGTGAGGCCAAATAGGATTGCGTGGAATGTTCAGTTGCGTACAAAGGTGTCTCAACGGTTGACGACAGAAACGTGAAACTTCTAGTGTATTTATTCAGAATCTCCTTGCCTTTTCTTGTGTGAGCTATGATTTCAGTTTCTTCCCTTTCAGTATTAATATTCCTTCTATACCATTGGCAAGGCGGTCCCTGTATGCAAAAAAATGACTTGCTTGTTTTTATAATGTGCAAATCATTGTAAGTAGAAATTGGAACCAGTATTTAAAGAGGCACTTAAGCTTGCCATTCACAGCTACTTTTCCCCCAAGAGATTTATCTATTAATCATGGCTCATAGTAGACTTCTTTCATCATTTTAGTTTAATTTTTGTTATGTAAGACACAGTGAATACACTTCCAGAAACAAGAAGACAGAATTCTGGACAATCTTGGCTTATCAATCATGAGTCAGCATGTTGGGGCATATTATCTGATTTTCCCAGGTTATTAATACCTGATTTGCCCACTCCCACAAAATGGGGTGGCTTTGCTAACTGGGAACTTACCAGGTGGAACAAAACTTAGTGCTATGCTCCAGCTGGGACCTCTGTTTTGTCATTCACCTAACAAAACATAGTCTAAATCCAGGGTTTGAAGTTGGCTTGATTTCTGGCTTCCTCTGAAACAATTGCACAATGCTAGTTTCTTTTTCTTGCTGGTTTGTTCTTGGTTCCTACAGGAGGAACCAAACAAGCAGTAAGACAGAATACACAAGCCTGCTTGGTCATGAATTCACATTGACCAAGTCAGAATCCTGACTCACCACTTTGTGCAAAAACGGCCTACACTTCAGCTCGTGCATTCTCTGTAGCTTGACTATTTTCAGCTCATACTATGTTAGGTTTTTGCATCTGGTATGTATAAGAACAATGTATTGTATCTGAAATTTACACTGTGATAGTTTTGCCATGGAACTAGTATTGCTTAATTTCAGATTACTTGATAAAGAAGTGCCACAAATGTAACAAAAGATGGATTCGGATTTTCCTTTGGGTTCCAATTTGGCACATTCCAGACACTGCTGCCTGATTAACTATATTTAGGGAATTGGTGGGATTCTGAAGCCCAAATAAGAGCCAGTTTTAGTTACTCCTTCATTTAGTTACTCCTCCGTTAGTATAAAAAAAGCATAGCATTTTTATAGCTATGCTTAATGCCAAACTGGTTCACAAACCCTCATCTACCCATGGTTACACACTAACATGGTTACAAACTGTGATTAGCAACAATGCCATCACAGTTGTAATGCTTGTGTGTGATCAAAACTGCCAGGTAAAACCATGAGGAAGAACATGTAAAGCTGCAACATACTTCCAATTGGAGAATGTTAATTAAGTCAGAGTTGGGCAGAAAGTGGAGCTCCAGCTTCAACTCCCAGAAGTCCCTGCCAACATGGGCAGGGATGCTTGGTGCTGAAGTCTGGAACACCTGGCGGTCTAACACCTGGTTTTTGACAACCCTCCTCCAAGTGATCAGATGCTGTTAGGTTTACCATAAGCCTATGACTCCCCTACCCTTAAAACTTGGTCATTTCACTACATTTTCACAACCTAAAGACTTTCCAAATGCTTGGTGGCCATCGGGTCAAGTTCTTCAACCTTAATGAGCGAGCATCACACAAATTACACAACATGCTGGGTGTCAGAAAGACAGACTTTGTGCCAAGGCAAAAAGAACCATCTGAATCCAAACGTGTTACATAAAAGTGTTAAGAATAAAAATATACCAGCTGTTACACACAGTATGGTTTTTACCTGGTAAATAGCTCTTTAATTTCAAATCCTCGTTGTGCCTTTTAGAAAACCCTTTCGAAGCTATCTAAAGAGTCCAAGACTTTAAGAGCACAAAGTGATTGATGGTGTAGGAAATGGGCTTTCAAGCCTGACGCGGCAAGATTGCTTTCTGACGGCATCGCATGGTGACAGCAATAACATCCTGTGCTCTTCAAGTCTTCGATCTCTCATGCCACCTGTTTTTAAATCGCTGTACATTTTGTAGAAATGTGTATTAAATAAATACTTTATTTATAAAGTTTGACCTTGTTTTTAAATTGTGGATACATGAACATCAGCAGTAAAATCACTGAAATTGAGCACTCCTAAGCCTTTCAAAAGATCATTTTTTAAAAGATGCCCAGTTACAATATGTCAGATTCATAAAAGAGTCGAAAGGGGTTCAGTACAGGACATGAGGTTAAACCCTCCCCCACAGATGGCTGATGTATGGCTAGTCAGCTTCTGCAATTTTGCACACATGGAAATGTATGAAGACTTGTGCTGCATTTGTATCTCTGTGAAATTCTGGACAAGTTCCAGAATTGCCACATGAAGGTATAAGATCAGATAGCCAAAATCTGGGGACACCTTGAAGGGATGGTACATTTAGAGCACCATAATTGAATTATAGGCATCCACTTGAGGGTGGAAGAAGCATGGATCACTTTTGCATTTCTTTGGTCCTGCAAGACAAAGATGGCCAGTTTTGGAAACTTCTTTTGCTCTTGCTCATGAGGAACTGGGCACCAGCAGCATGGCAATGGAATCAATGGTCTACAGAGGTGGTGGGCTCTCCCCCACTAGAGGTACTCAAGATGAAGCTAGACAGCCTTCTGAGAGGGATGGTTTAATTCGTCCTGCTTGTACCTGATGGCCTTCTTGGCCCCTTCGAACTCTTCTATAAATCTATATCCTGATAAAGCCTCGCTCTTCCTCAGAATGTTCTTCCACCTTGTGGTGTCTCTGATGTCACTCTTGCAATTTCAGCTCTGCAGACAGGATGGGAAGAACAAGGCCAACAGCACAGGCAGGCTTCTACCAGTGGTCCCAGCTCAAGCTTGGAATGATTTCCGAAGTCTGGGCTTGGACCGCAATCTATTCTATGACTGACTGAACAGAATCCAGTAGACCTATAAAGTTTCTCACTGAATATATATGACCTAAATCTGTGACTCTTGGATGCTTAATAATGACAGTTTATAGTGGATTATATGCTCTGGATATTCTGCAAATGTTTTTAGTATCAGCCTTGCAGCCCATTTGAGGAGGCAGCCGAGGAGTGCGTACATAGTACAAATACATATGAATTATTTTCCCAGGTTAAGATATGCCCCTTCTCTAGTTTCTTTTAATTGTAAATTGCGTATTTTACATTTTTTTGGTCCCTGCTTCCCTAACTTTGGCCCTGAAGCTCTTTGCTTCTGACAGCTTTAAAAACAAGGAAACATGGAAAATGAGAACCCGTTGCCCTTCTCCAAAAACCTGCAAACTTCATTTGCTTTTATCAGTCGAAATGTAAGGGATCCTTATTTATTCAGCAATTTTTGAAAGCTTCACAGGGAAAAATGTAAACGTGATGTATTCGTACTCAATTCATGGCTTTGCAAAGTATTCCATTTGCTGAATTTAATACCTTTTCTGCTAATTGGCAACAGCACAACTGGATCAGGAGGCTAGTTTTGGCATGTCTAGTTCTCCGGATTGCCTAAGAGAAAGTACCTCCTTCCAGTAATTCAGGCAACCACACGCTCTTCCTTCTTCACAGTCTTCAGTGCAAGGCTTGCCTTTTGAACGCAGATGACTAACAGAGCAGAATAGTTCAAGGTAATAATGGAAAACCATGTGGGGAGAGATACTTGATTAAGACCTGGCACTGGATGTTATGGGTGATACAGTTTTTCAGCCCGTCTTCCTAAGGAAGCATTTCCCCGAGTATTCCAACAAGACTGTGGATGATCCTTGATCCGGTATGAAAATCTTTGCTCTGCAATTATGCTTCTGGGGATCGCTTGTATTTCATATTAAAGTGTTCAATTTATCATGGAAATAGTAGCAAAGACTGCAATCCTAGGAAAATTATTCCAGAAGACCCAGTTGGACTAACTTCTGAATAAATGGGTGTAGGACCACACTGAGAATGAGGTGGAAGGGAGCATTGGTTATGTTCTTTTCACAGGATGAAAAGGAAACAAGTTAGAAGGGCAATGTACGTGAGCTTGAGAACATGGTAATGTTACATGGTGCCTGGCAAGACAGGCACCGATCGGTTTTGAAGAAATTAAAACAATATTGATAGCTCCAGTATGTCAGGAAGGTAACTAAAAACTGACCCAAGCCTTAAAAATATTGCCTCAAAATACACTTTAATGTGTTCAAAAGTTAGGTTTGGTTAATAGTTATACCTGGACAGGACTTAGCATGGTAAAGACTGAGTTATAAGGATAAAGCTAAGTTAATAAGAACACATTCCTATGTGAGTTTCTACGGAATCAAGTCCTCCAACTCCTAGCATTAAATTATTATATTTATTTATATCCTGGCTATTCCCAGAGAGTGGGACTTCAAGTGGGCCTTGCCAGTTATGAATTTGACAAATGCAGGATTGTGCCAGGACTAGTCTCAACAGTAATTTAGGGCACAATCTTACATGTATTTAGACAGAAAATTGCCCTGCACTGCTAAATATTCCCCCAACCAGTTTAGAAATCCGAGTTGGAGGCTTTCCTCTGAAGTTCTGAGCTGGTAGAGCTACCAGATAATGCAGCTGGGACTCTCCTGCTTTCCAAAATATGTAATGGATCCCAGAAACTGCCTAGGAATTTGAATAGAAGACTTAATTCTGGTTTGAATATTTATAACTCATTTCAGGTATGTGGGAAATGTCAATCAAGTACCCACTGAGGATGCCCTGCACGCTTTCCCCTTGCTGATTTTTTTTGCAGCATTTAAAGCGCTTAAAACTTCCTAAGCATTGTACAGAGATTAAAAGATAATGCACCTCCTGCGTACGTAATTTAATAGTTATGATGCAAAATGGGGAAAAATTGGAAAGAGGAAACACTACCTACTGGTATGTAAAAAATGGATCAACGGAGAGGTCAGATCTTCAGAGTACCAGGCCTACAGTCAACCTAAAAGTCTTTCTTTGGAGGGGTGCCAAAAAGTAAAGGGTGTTTCATCTCATCCACAAGCCTTTTACACTTTTAAAAATATTTAAAAGGCGTTTCCCCTCCTCGCAGTCTACAGGCTTGCTTAGTGTTTTTTTTTTTTTAAATAGGGCTGCAATTCTATTTGCACTTGCCTGGACATAAAGCTCCCCTTGAATTCAACAGGACATTCTGGGGCAACAATACATGGGATCCGGCAGTGAGAAGGGGAGGGGGTGTTGCAATTTTTGCCAATTGCGATCGATGCAGATTTAAGGCTGCAATCTTACGTAGGCTTACCTGGGAGTAAACCCCCTATTTCAGTCGGCAGGGTTAGAATTCAGTAGGCACAGGAAGTAGTCAAAATCCGTATTAGGATAAAAGTATGATGCTAATAATATGGGCTGTTGGGATCTTAGGCAAGGACAACAACTTTGCTTGTTGGGCGCAAGGCAGTCTTAAGACGATCTGTTGAGAACCCTAATCCCCCTCTAAGTAAGGCTTACTTCTGAGTGAAGGCGCACGTTCAAATCCTTCACAGCCTTGCCTTGCAGCTGAACTCCGTGAGGCTTGCTTTTGAGTAAATTTGCACGGGGTTGCACTGGCCGAGTGACTGCAAGATTCAGTCCTGGAAGCTGATCCCCTCCTGAAGTCAACGAGCCTTCCTTCTCAAAGGCAGCCTCCAGCATGAGCTCTACTCACCGTAGTCCCATTGCAAGGCATGAAGCGACTCTAACAGGGACGAACGTTGGCAGCCCGTAGACACGCCGAGGGCCGTCCTGGCTGCAAGCCTGCGAATCTGGGCTGCATCCTGCTTCGTTAAGCTCGAACGCCATCCATCGCGACGGGCCTACTCTAAGTAGAGCTCACCTTGGCCACAAACCCCCTTCACGCGATCCTTACCTAGGGGCAAGCCCCAGCTCCGTGCAAGCATTTAGGCTTCCTTGCGACTTAAGGCGTGCAGAAGGCTGGCCAGGGGCACGTCTGGGCGCGCTCACTCGCAAGTCAGCCCCGCCGGCCCGCCGCGGAGCTCCCTTCCAGCCGAGCACGCCCGCGGATGGGCCAGGCGAAGCCCGCCGAGCTTGCCTCCCTGCCCGCCGGCAGGCCAGCCCTTCCGTGCAAGCGCATCCGGGGCAGACGCGCGGCCGGGAAGCAGCGCCTGCGCCCGAGCCGTACACGTGGGGGAAGGCCGGGCTGCCCTGCTTCGCCCCGGGCGCTGCGCGGTCCCTCCGAGCGGCAGCGTCGCCCGCCTCCCGGGCGCCGTCCCCATGGGCAAGAGCAAGACCAAGCGCTTCCGACGGGCGCCGTTTTCGCCCGCGGGCGGCCTCAGCGAGCCGGACGGGGAGGCCGGGCGAGCCGCGTCCGGGTCCGCGCCCGGATCCCCCGCCGTGGAGCTGCTGGAGAAAGTAAGAGGGCGCCCCGGGGCTGCTCCCGGGCCCGCTCCGTGCATGCCGCCGATCCCGGGCCGGCCCGCCGCATGCATGCTTTGCACAGCGGGTAGGGTGGCCAACTGACCGGCGCTGCCTCTGTGCCTTGGCGGGAGTCTATCCCGCCATCAGGGGAGAGGTTGGGCTCCCTTCAGTACTCTAACCGTGGCGCCGTACTGGCTCTCCGGTTGGGGAAAAGGCATTTTGCGCGGTTTGCTTTAAACAAAATAAGCAACAAATAAACTGCAAATCCATAAAGCTCAAACACGCATGCGACAGCGGAGATGGATTGACAGCACAACTATTTATTATCAAAGGTGTGGGAGAAGAGGAGAGTTTTAAGGAACATGGTGCTTTTAAGGGAGCCAGAGAATATATTTCACTGAAAGGAGTTTTGCTCTCATTTCACCTCTTCTAGCTTCATAGAATCCAAGTCTGAAGGCTGGGAGTTTAAAAAAAAGTTGCTGGGACAAATTGAGCTCTGTCCTCACCCTCATTTTGCAAAAGCTTCGCAGAGTAGGAAAGTGGGATGTACCCAGTGCTCTGTAAACGTTTCTGAATTGCCAATTTCCCCTTTCCCTTTCACAGAATTTATTTATAGCCCTTTGCAAAATAATAAATGCAGTGAGACACTGATTGTGTATAGAATGAACCACAAAGTTCGCCCATGATCCAGTCCCGCCTGACTACAAAATACATTCCGATATGCAACATAGAAAAGACCATTTATCCGTTCTGTTGCTTGGCATTTGTGCATCTTCTTACAGTCCTCCTTGGTTATCACAAAGTGCTCTCTTAGGAGAATCACTGTATCACCAGAAAGTTCTGGTGTACTGTACTTTGTATATTTTACATATATAAAATATACCCTGTACTGTGTGCATGGTTTGTTTTTATATTCCATTTGAGTTTTTTAGTAGTATGTAATCTGCCCAGAGAGCTTTTGTAATTGGACAGATTAGAAAATAATCATTTATCCTAAATGTACAAATACATTTCTCATTTCTGTGCTTCGCTAGGCCAAGTCCTTGTAAGGAACGTCCTTACTTGAGAAACGGTGGGTCATGCCCCATTCCTTGTTAACTCTAGGCTGGTTCAAAATCACCCCAATGTGGCGTCTAATTTGGCTAGGTCCAACAAAGGAGTTTGTGTGTGACACTACAATGCCTGCACCAGACTAGTATAAATTCCAGCCCTGGTCTTCGCTTCTGTGTTTTTCTAGCTTCAGCATCCAAGTGCCGACGTGAGAGAATTTGCCTGTGCCAGCATTTCCAAACTCTTGCAGCAGAAAGAAACAATCCCAGCCTTTGTGCAAGAGGATGTTGTCCGTTGCCTGGGTCCCATGTTGCTTGATCAGAGCTTCAAGGTTCGCGAAACAGCGGCAGGGGCTCTTCGGTGAGTGATGCATCGCGGTGAGAACGCGTGTTTCCAAAATCTGCACCATCCTTTGAAGAGCCTTTCTCCGCCTGGTGCCCTCCGGTTGTTGGGGACTTCCTACCAGCCCCAACCAGCATGGCAAGTGGTCAAGAATTCTGGGAGTGGAAGTCCAAAGCATTTTGGAGAGGCGCCATGTTGGGGAGCAGCCTTCGGGGACTTTGCTCCGAATCATGTACTGCATGACCAAACCTTTCTACTGCTTTGGTCATAAATATGCAAGAATTATTTTGTTGGCTCCTCTTGGTCCAGTAATCTGTTTCCAGCAGTGGACAGCTAGAGGTCCCAGTAGGGCATGAAAATTACGGCGTTTCTCAAGTGTTCCAACATCTGGTATTGAGAGATATATTGTCCCCCAATAAGGGAGCGCCAAATAGCTATGAGTTAATGAACCCATCATTCATGAGTTTTTGTGTTTATTTATTTGGAGCAGTAGCCAATTGAAGACTAGCACTAACATAAATTATGGTGCGGTAGTGTAAGGCCGTACAATACAGCTATCCAGAATATACATTGTGGTTGAATTGTGGACTGTTGTATTATATGAAACCGGCTGTACTAAGAAACCCGCAAAGAGAAATCACGGTTTGTTGTTGGGTTGTGGACTCTGGGTTGTTTGTGATTAACAAACCACTGTTTGTTAGTGCACATGGAGTCCCACAGCAGAATAACCCATGATTCAGCAACAGCCCATACTCAACCCATTCTTTGGGTTATGTTGAGATGTGACCAAGCTCATAGTGTAGAACACTGATTCCCAAGTGAATTTGTTGGCACAGTGTTGCCTAAGCCACGAGCTGCATGTGAAATTCTATTTCTGCTTTTTTACAGTAGTTATTTATTACGTTACATGATTTTTGTGGCCACAAGTGCACTGCTGTTCTTCATTCATTTATTGCTGCCCTAATTTTGTGGCTATTTAATTAAAGTTTTTCCCAGCTGAGCATCAAGGAGATCATTTAGTAATTGGAAAATCGTTTTATATTGTCTAGATAAAGAGCTTGCAGCTGTGCCATTAGCACTAAACTGACTTTTAAAACTTACAGTTAATGAACAAATGAATCATTTAATTGATATATAGCTTTTGGTTCTACAAGCAAATGTTTCCATGCCATTGAAGGGAACCACCAAGTCCAGATTCAGCATGGCCTTCGCTAAATCTTTGGAGGTCCATGTGTGGTGGGTTGCCAGAAGGTCTGTTTGTGATGGCATTACATGCAGAGGTCCTAGGCTTGTGGGAACCTTATTCATTACTCTAGATGTGCTTTAAAATATATTTGTAAAGTATATGCGTGAATAAATGAGGCAAGGTATTCTCTTGAAAAAATGTCGTGGAGCCTGGCGTTGTGGGCCTTGGAATCCTGCTTTTGACTTAAAGCTGATAATTAAGTTGAGAGCTTTCTCCATCCTGGTGGGCTTCAGCAACCATGCTGACTAAGGGTGATGGGAACTGTAGTTCAACTTCTCTAAAGGGTATCAGGGTGGGGAAGGCTGGAGGACTGGTACTTGTAGAATTGATTTCTCAAGAGGGAGAATGTCACAGATACAAAAGAATACTTTCCACATACTGAACAGCATAGGATGCCTTTCTAGAATGCTTTGATTATAAAAATATTGCCTCGAAACAACGGCTCCCTTGTTAGGACTGGCACTTGGCAGAGAATCAGGTTCTAGTCTCCACTCTGTCTGGGTGACTTTGGCCCAGTCACTGACTGTCAGTTTCCCTACCCCACAGGGTTGTTGTACGCATAAAAATAGAGAAGAGAAGTCTATAGGCCTTCTTGAGTTCCTTTCAAGGGGAAAAAGTAAAAATATAAATTGAAGAAGAAGAATATCTGTGATCTGCTTAAACTACAGGTCAGAGCAGCTGAGCAGTTGTTTGGCAGTGGATAAATACTTTTTCCAGCTACACATTTGTTTGTTTATTTAGCTGATACATATATTTATCCAGCTGAGACACACACACACACACACACACACACACCCCATCCTTCTAACCCTTTTGTTCTCTTCCAGCTTTTTCCCTATTTCCTTGCTCATTAGGCAAAGACCAGACTTTCTGTCATTTTGTGTATACAGGCTCAAGTGTATCAACACAGCGATATAATTTGTATGGATTTTAATTCTATTTCTATTGTTATTAATTGCTATTGTTTTGTAGCGGTAGATAGATCTTTTTTTATTATTATTTAAGCCTCTGATCCCAATCTTTCCGGCTCTGTTGCAGAAATCTTAGCGCTTGTGGAGGGTTTGAAGTGTGCGACGACATGGTCACGAAAGATGTGATGACGCCTCTTGTAGCGTTATTGAAAGAGGTATGTGTGGAGCAGAGCAGCGAAGAGGCAGAGCTGGGCTCAAGAAGTCCTTGGCTCAAAAGTTGTATTCCCCACACACTCGTTATGTGGCCTTGAACACTCTTCTCTCTGTCATCCTGAATCCCCCACCCTCCCTGCATCTGCAACATTTGGGAAATCCTCACACAGACCTACCTTGCAGGGTTGTTGTTAAGGATCTCAAGTAGAAATTGCAAGTGAAATGATGTGAACTTTTGTGGCAGGCTTCTATTGACATGTGTACAGCAGACTTTTGTTAATCCTGCCTAACCTTAGAAACTAAGCAGGGTCATGGATGGGAGTTTTGAGTCGTGCATTGAGGAGGGGTTGGACTTGATGACCTTCTAGGCCCCTTCCAACAGTATGATTCTATGATTCATTTATTTATTTAGTCAAATACCAGCCTACCCCTATCTGGTGGCCTTCAGAGACATTTGGACCGCAACTCCCAGAATTCCCATCCAGCCCTTGGGCCATTGACTGGGAATTCTGGGTGTTGCATCCCAAACCTTGTCTGGAAGGCACAGGGTTGGAGAAAGCCACTCTAGACCATTCCTGCAAATCCCCAAGTGATTCACATTACACTATAATGCAGTATAGCAAAAACAGTAGTACTTAAAATATTGCAAATCTGTAAAAACTTCATGATGCTTTAACAGTAACAAGGTAATAGCAAATAGAGGGGGAAATAAGGATTGAAGAATCACAGAAAGAAGACAGAGGGAGAATGGAGGGGGAAGCCATGGGTGCAAGAGGGGAACATGGGACTTGCCAAAGCCAGAACCAAGACTTTAGTGAAGGAGGAAAGACTAGCACCGAGGCATGAGAAGTTACAAGTGGTTGGTTGAAGCAACCAGGAACTGCCATCAGGGTTTGGTCTTGCGAAGGAGAGGGTGTTAGCTAATTTTAATTAGTCCAGACTCAACATTCAACTGGGTCATATTGCATAAATGAATTGATTTTGTAGAGAGCTTATTTTGTGGTGGTGGTGGTGTAATCGACAGCCAGCTTCCCTTGCATGCAGTTTGGTGTAATCAAGCTTCTTGATCGGAACTCTTCTTGGGCTTATTTCTGAAAGGGAGAGGGAAAGGTGGCCGCCGCAGTCCCTTAGGTTTTGGACTTTTCCAGTCCTGTTGCTCAAGTTTCTTTCAACTGGAGATACAGGTCCTTGAACCCAAGACCCTTCCGCATGTTGTCTGTTTGCTCTCTCCTCTCCCCATACAGATCAAAGGAATGGGCCGGGCTGTGGCGCAGCCAGATAATAATACTTGTGCATAACGACGAATGCCCGCCTCTTCTTTATTTCCGCTTGTGACTTGACTCTCCTCCTCTTCCCCCCGACCCTGCCAGCAGCTCCTGCCCACATTTTTACAAAGCACGAGAAGACCTGGCTCTTCAGTGCTAATGGGAAGGGACAAACTAGCACATTCAGCTTCTATAGAATAGGTCTCCTCAATGCCGAAATTATGTACTCAGCATTGCAAGAAATGCATTTTACCACCCTTTGCTTGCCTGGGGGTTCGTTACGGTTCGTTCTAGGCGAGGAGCAAATGTGAAGACAGCTTATTTGTGGCTGAGAAGAAAGGAAGCCCCAGAAAATTAAAAAAAAAAAATGTAGAACCAACAGCAAGAAAAAGGGAGATTGTGTCTGTTTACAGACTGGATAGTTATTCTGTTTCCTGACATAAGTGCCCATTTGGAGGCCAGGAAAGGGTTTGGCCTTCCAGTGTCAGCTTCATAATCAAAGCAGGGCTATTTCAGAAGTCTGCAGATTTCGCGGTGACGTGAAGATGGTTTGGCATGCTCCAATTCGTTCTGCTTTTGTTTTATTCCCACCCTGACTCCCCTTTTGGGCCTGTTTGGTCAAGCCAGTGTCACGCAGGTCTGGAGGAGAGCAATGGCTCCGTGAAGGAAGTCAAGGACACCAGCAAGAACTTCATCGAGGACATCGCCAACGAGGCAGTGAACCTGCTCTGGAACTTGTGGTGGGTTCCAGCTTGAAATGCTTAGAGTTGGGGCTGCTTTGTGGGGGCTTTGGGCCAAGAGGGGCCCTTGGGCTTCTGTGAGTGACATTCAGGCGCCATGTTAATTTCCCAGAATGCTGCAGAGCAACACACACATCGCTGGAGAACGGTGGCTCCATTGTGGCCCCAGGAGCTGTCCAATCTGGCTAGAGTTTATTTATTATTTATTTTATTTACTACCTTTAGTCACTACATTTATATGCTACACCCATAGGCGTGGCTGTAGCATATAAATTAAAACAACGACTACATCAGTTCAATAATGATTAAAACAATTCCATATGAAACAATACAATCAAGAAAAAACAAAAGCAGACTTTTGCTTCATAATAAAACCATTTAAGCAACCAAACTGAAACAATCATAATAATTAAAATTAAATGGCAACTGCAATTCTAACATGGCAGTAGCAGCATAAAATCAACAGAGTAAACCATTATTACAGCCTACCAACTTACCAGAATATTTGTGAAAAATTAATGCTTTTGATTGGTGTCTGGATGAAAGGAGAGGAGAGGCCTGGTGAATCTCCAAGGGTCGCATGTCCTGCAAGTGGGGGTGCTGCTGCAGAAAAGACCCAGCCAGGGAGGAGTCTCCTGCCCCCCCCCCCAAACTCTTTTGAGCAATCGTTTCAAGTCTGGACCTGATGACCTCATTTGCCCCTTCTAACTGGACAGTTCCAGGATCCCTGCAGTTGGGTTGCTGCTTTTAAACAAACAATAGAATGCTTTGTCTGTGTCTCTTATAAATCTTTGTGTCACATAGCTCTTAATGGTCTTCCCAGCACTGAATAAACAATGGCTTCCCCCCCAGGAGACAAAGTATGCTAGGCTGTGCGATCTAAAGGACTAGCTACCTGCAAAAAAAATTTTTCTGCATGTTTAGAAAAACTTTCCGCCAAAGCACACAAGGAAGTTTGCCTTCTATAGCAGTGGTTTGCCATTGGTGGATTGACTGATTTATTTAAAACATTTTTATGCGGCCCCCATTGCAACGAAGCCTCGGGGCGGCTCACAACAGAAACAAAATACATAAATACATGGATAGAGTTGGAAAATACCCAGAATATCCAATATTGGCTGCCCTTATGCAAAGCACCTTTGGGACCACATTTGGAATATTCTAGTCACTGCAGCTAAAACTAGATATCGTAGAGTTTGGGAAAGGTGCAGAAACAAACACCAAGAAAGACTGGAGGGCTGAGGCTTCTCTTCAAGGAAAGCTTTAAAGTTGAAGCTTAGCTTAGCAAAGGGTCACGTAAGGAGTGACATGCTAGAGGTGCATCAAAATATGAACAAGGTAGAAAAAGTGGACTGCAAGACATTTTTCTCCTTCTCATATAATACTCAAATCCAGCATGGCTCTTTTTGTATCCTTATCGAATTGTTGACCCTGCTGAGCCGATGGAGGTCTTGCTGTCTCGATGGGCATCTTAAAAGAATGCAAATTTTATTTTCTTTATTCCAAACTCAATAAAACAATGCATCCTGAACAGAACTTCAGGGGGATTCAGGGTTTGTCAGGGCTGCTCAAATTCTGTTTGCTTCTCTGCTAGTGAATGCAACTGTTTAGCAGTATCCATATTCAACAAAGAAAGCTGCCTGGGCATTGTACTGCAGTATCTAAAGAGATTTCCTACGAACGTGGACCTGGCTATCGCGGTAGGTAAGTAGAGGACGCAGGCGGGCACCCGTGTGTTTTCCTAGGCGAGCCGAAACTGCTCCGGCTATCTTATTTATTTAAAGGCTGTTTCAAATAAAGAAAAATAGCCTCCTTTTTTGTTTTTAATTCCAAGGGGGCATGCATCCAAAAGCACCCACAATCAGCTTTAAAGCTCAGCAAGAGATCATGATTAGACCAAACAGTAGCAGAAGAGGTTTTAAAGTAGCATTGGATTCTGAAAAATCAGAGCAATTTTTCAAAGAGCAGCAGGTAAAGCAGCCTCGGAGGCTCTTCTCAGCAGATACAATCCATATTTCGGTCCATTAAAAGCCTGGGCAAATGAAAAGGCCTTCACTACACTTGGCACCAGCTTTCCTAACCTTTTGGCACCAGGCTTGGCTTGCCCTCTCTGCCAAGGCATTTAATAGCTTTGGAGGTCACTGTGTGGGTGGATAGGTATTGTCAGCTGTTTTGGAGACCAAGCTGTATGAACCTGCCTTAACTATTGAAGTTCTAGAAATTCAGCTTAAAAATTCAATGCTGCTTTATGATGTTTTTATTGCTATTTGTACACCAGTGTAGTGTATTGGTTAAGAGTTCAGGATTGTGACTTTTTAACAACTAAAAGGCTGATTTTACAAACTCGGAGAGACAAAAATTCAGCCTGTATAATATTGCAGAATGAAGACCTTACAGTATTTGTGATATATGAGTGGGTGGACTCTGGATATTTATTTGGAATTTGTTCTGCTTTTATGAAGCCTATGTATAATTGCCGGAAAGGGTTGTGTGTGTTGTGTGTAGTCCTTGCTAAGGACATACACAAATCCGTGGAGGTATAAGGGCTTTTAGGGAAGCTGTGGGAGACGTCGATTGGAGCTGTGCCAGGGAGCCTTGGCTCCCGAGGGTCCACCTGGAATTGCGGCCCCTGTTTCAGTGTTGCTCATGCTTCGCTTGGCAGCCTCCTGCTTGCAGGCCGTGACGGAAGATAATGTGGACCTCCTTTCTTCCATCGATACCTCCACGCACCAGGTGCTGGAAATGGTCATGTTGTCCTCAGAGGAGGGGATGGAGTACATCCTTTTACGGACCCTGGTGGCAGGTAGGCTGTATCGGGATGCCCCCTGCATGAGTGAGATCGGGGGTGCTGAGGGGAAGGGCCCTCGCTCCGTTGTCAAGCAGGTGCCTGCATGCATCAGCTTGGCGCTCAGCAACTCCAGGTAAGGTAAGGTGCGGGCAAGGACTCCAGTCTGAGAACAGCTCCCAGGGGGATCAGACTAGTGGTACAGCCTTCCCCAGCCTGGCTGCTTCTAGCTGTGTTGGACCGCTGCTCCCAGCATTTGGCTGGGGGTGCTGGGAAGTGTAGTCCACACATTGGAAGGACACCAGGTTGGGGAAGACGGTTTGACTGGCTTCTCTGCAGTCATCACCTGTCTCCCCCCCCCCACCACCACCATTCTACCAGATTGAAAATCCTCTTCTCAGAATTAATTACTTGGAATAAGGCTTTTCAGCTAAGATAGGCTGGTGCTTTTGGCCCACCCTTCCTTTGCCTTTGGCCTCACACCCCATGGAAATGTGGCCTCCAGAGTTCTCTCGAAATGTAACTTGGCCCGAAGGAGGTTCAGCACCGCTGCTTTATCAGCATCTGTTGCATTGCGTTCTTCCATTGCATTTTATGCTGTGTTTTTCCCTCCTGTGAGGAATGAAAGCAGCTTACATTTTATCCTCACAACAACAGGAACAACCCTGCGAGGTGGGGTTATAAGAAGTGGGGCAGCGTAGAAATTGAATAAATAAATAGAAATAAGCAAGAGGCTTTGCTGGGTGTAACACAACCCAGAACTGGGCCTTTTCTGCAATGGCCCGCAATTTGTGGCGTGCCTTCGCCCTCAGTTTGTGGGCGGCAGCAACTGGGACATGGCTCAAGACCTGTCTTTTCACTCTGGTCTCTGTGTCACCCAGTTAGTTAATTGCTAGTTCTGTAACATGAACATTTTAATGTTTGTGAAGAGTTTTTGACAGAGATTTTGTATTCTCTGTTTTTAAATGTCTGTGGACATGTGTTATTTTAAAAAGGTATGTTGAAAACTGCTTTGGAGATGTCTTTTTAGGTATGGTCAGGTGGCCTGTAAATTGCTTGAATATGTTTATTTGGTTGGTGTTCTTCTGAGTAGTAATGCTGAGTTGTAAAGTCTTGGGAAGTCATTGGGTCCAAGTGGAGGTGGCAGCCATCTTTGTCTGCCTCTCTGTGGATGCTGCAGTTGCTGGAATCGAGGGCATATCCCGACTACCGTAACCTCTTCCTTGCTTCAGGTGTCGTTTGGAACATAAAGGGCACGCTGCCTGCCGGTAGCCAGGCAGGCACGATAAACGCCATCCTGAAGGTTCTCTCAGGATGTTTAGCGCTAGACTCTGGCGAGGTGGTCATTCGGATGAAGGAGGCTGAGACGGAAAGGCTGGCCAGCTCCACTGAGCCAGAAACGGAAGGGAATGTGGGTGCAGGCGACGACATGGCGCTTAATGAAGACGAAGAGATGGAGGAAACGCCGAAATTAGCTGCCAAAGGGAAGAACGATATTTCTGACCTCCTTCCTGTAAGTCTGGATGAGGTGGGTCGATCTGTACCTAGATGTTGCAGGCTGGGAGTATTTGCTGGTTCAGGAAGAACTTGCCTAGTGTCTGGATTGGGTAAAAAGTCTTCTCACAACGTGTGTGACTCAACCATTGGCTATTCTTTCCCTTGATTTCTCTGCTTTCTGCTTTCCCTTGAGAAGTTTGTGGACTTGACGTTTTAGATACTTGGAGTAGCTTGCACTTAAGCTGCGCTGCTGCTTTCTCTCAATGGAACTCAGCGTCCTTATTCAGTAGCTGAAGAGCTTTCAAATCTGAGAGCGGGAGGAAGTGATGAGGGGCAAAGGACGTCCTCCACATCTCCGCTCCAGCTTCTCACGCTGCTCCGAGTTCTCCAGGGTCCTCCCATCCGTCGGTCCATCTAGCTGTCTTCCATTTGTGCAGCCACGAAGCAAAGCTCCACTTTCAAAACTGGCAATTTATCGTACTATAGAAATATCATCCAGATTTTGGAATCCCGTCTATTAGGTGGGGGGCTTCAAAACTGCTCAGGAGATGGTAGTTTACAACTCATGAACACTAGTTTAAGGGCCCCAAAGACTGCCTTTATGACAAGATCCGATGGAGAAGGGTCATGGCTCAGTAGTATAATACCAGTTTGGCATGCTAGTCCCAGTTTAATTTCTGGCAGGTGCTGGGAAAGATCTCTGCCAGAGACTAGGAAGAGCCCCTGCCGATCTGAGTGGGCAGTGCTGGATAAACAAATTTTCTGCCTCTGCTTTGCTTTGCAGTCCAGTCAACAGGAGCTGAAACAAGTATCAGCTTTACTTTTGGCTCAGCAGACAGCCCTGGAAATCATTGTTAATATGTGCTGTAACGAAGGTACGTATATCACTCTCTTGTTTACGTGGAATCTTGCCTTCCTGTGTTTTTTCCAAACTTCTCAAGCAAACCCCCTCTAAAATAAGTGTATTTAGGATTGCGGCCATAAACCGTACCCCAAACAATGCATTTACAACACCCACAGCCAGTTGAATGAGAGTTGCATTTACTGCTGTCATTCAGCCCTTTCGTTTCGATTTTATGCAGCTACATTTCCACAAAGCGTGCAAGAAACATGGTGCCAGTTTTATAACTTAGAATGTTTTGAGAATCTGTAGTATTTTCACTCTCTTTTTTAGTTTTAGTAGGAACAGGTTTCTAGCTTTTATATCTGCTGAGATAATCTTGAAAATACATGGGCTGTACTTAATGATCATATGCCATTCTTCAACTATAAATACATAAATAAATAAAACTTAAGCCTAATCCCGTGTGGCGTAGCCTATTCTTTGCTTTTATCCCTCTGCTTTCCTTCTTCCCCAGCTGTTTACTATGAGTGAAATTTTAGATTGTTAACACCTTGAGGCAGGGACCTGTCCTTTTTTACAGCGGATGGTACTGCATAAATACTTAAATAAAACTGTTTATTTTAGTGGGGCTTGGGTGTAGGGATGAAGCATGCTTTGATGGGAAGGATCTGCAGAGAGCAGGAATGGCTTGGGGTTTTTATTTATTTATTTATTTAGGATATTTCTAGGCCATCCATCACTTTCGTCTCTGGACGGCTTACAATAAAATCTATAAATACAGTGTACATATCCCACACAATAATGAATTAGATATCCCATGACTGAAATAAATACAATTAATTATTAAAATAAGTTTTCTTTGGACGCCTGTGCTGTTGGTTTGCAGACCCCTCCGATGATGAATGGGAGGAGTTATCCAGCAGTGACGAAAGTGATGCCTTCATGGACAACTACACCGAAGACGAGAAGCTATTGTCACCTCTCTGCCTTTCAGCTGAAGTTCACACAGCTCTTAGGAACCATCTCGTGCCAAAGAAGGTGAAGGCCCTTGTCTTTCCTAGCTCCTCAGTGCCAGGATGGGAAGGAGCCGTGCCTTACCGTTTTGCTTGTGGGAGGGTCCCCGGCATCTCCGGGCAGGGCTGCGGAGGAGTCCCTTAAGCCCTACCGAGCTCCTGCCACTCAGTGCTGACGAAACTGGGCTGGGTGGACCAAGGTGCTGTCCCTCTTTCTAAGATCCAAACATGGCTCGGTTTGTTCTGTGTACCTGAATGGGGCTTTGGACTCGTGTTTCTAGAACCCGAGTGTCCCAGTGCCTCGGAGAAAAATATTCTGCAGGGTGAGTGCTTGTAGAAACGGCTTCCTCTGTTCCACATGCAAACTATTGGACTTGTCTAAAGTAGCTCTTTGGATCCTGGCCACTGGCCACGCTACATGACTCAGAGTACAGTTTAACATTAGTCAACTTTGTTGTTTAACAAAAGAAGCATTTTAATCCAGTATCTTGTGTACTGAATCTAAACCCCGAGGTCATCCTGTATATTAACACTAAAATCGTGTGCACGCATGTAAATCTGGCTGTTGCTTTTTGCAGGGTTTTATCGTGCATAAGTTAGTCTGGTTGTTCTAACAGGGCAAGGCACAGCCCCTCAGAGCACTCAGAATCTTATCCAGCCTCTTCCTCTACCTCTTGCCCCAGCCTTTGAAGATTCAAAGCACATCTTTGCAACCATGTGGACTAGCAACATGCTTCACAAAACAAAGCAACACAATGAAAGCCAAAGTTGTTGGGAACTTGAATTTTGCCGTCTATTTCACATTCTCTCTGTTTCTTGTGCTCTCATAAAATCATAGCCATCTGCATAGAGGTTTGACAGTGGTGCGTAACAGCTCTTTTCTTCTCCTAGATACTTGAAAAAACTGCCTTCCCCAACAGCGCTGCTGTTGACATCTGCAGGTGCAATCCAGCTTGGAAACCCCTCATTAAGAAGTAAGTGTCCACGGGCCTTTCTTGTGTTTCTAGTGAAGTTTTTAGGACGAGGCTGTCTGTTCTACTTCCAGGAGGTATTCAGCTTGCTGCTGTTGGAAAAAGGACACCGAACTGGAAGGAGATTTAGTCTGATCCAGCACGGCAGCTCTGAACATTATCTTGTCCGGACTGCTTAATGTAAGGGTTGGCACTTGCCCATTCTGTGACCTTTTCCTTTGCTTTACAAAATCTGACTATCAGAGCACTGCATTTCAGCAACCTCACTTTAGGGTGCTGTTATTCTTCAACCCCTTTAAAGCACCTAACCCTGTTTTCTAAACTTCCTCTAAACCCTCCCTCTTCTCCATCTGTCTTCACAACAACCCTGCAAGGTAGGGTAGGCCGACAGGCAGGCTCTGGCCCAGAGCACCCAGTGTGCTTCATGGCCACGTGGGGACTGGAACCCAGCTCTCACTAGTCCCAGTCCTGCGCTCTGCAGCGCTGCCCCGCGCTGGCTCTCCTGCCTGGACTCGCTCCCTTTCCTTCCAGGTTGAACGTGGTCCAGTGCAGGGCCCTGACCTGCCTTCACAGCATCCTGCTGGTGTCCGACGTGGATTGCCTCGGGGGAGTGTCGGTCCTGCAGTCGCTGTCGCAGCACCTGTCACACCTGATCTTTTCTCAGTCAGGTGCGTTTGGGCCCTGGGTGTGTCCTGACTTTCCGCAGCCTTTAGCAAACATTTTTAAAAGCCTCGCGATTCAGTCTTTAAAGAGCCTGCAGATCCGATGAACTGCGCCCTCCAGAGCACTTTGGCTATGGACCTGGGAGCATGGGGAAGGGAGAGGTGGGGGTCCGGCTAGCCCATTCCCCCCTTTGGGGAGTTCTAGCCCGATTGAAACCTTTCTAGACAGTGTTGTGGAAAGGTACTGTTGGGCTGGAGGGAGACATACGGCTGCTTGGCTGCTGTACAACAGCGTAAGCTTGGCCAAAGCTCTGTTGATGGGGCTGTGAATAAGCCATTTGGAAACAGAAGGCAGGATCCCAGAGCATGCCTTTTCCAATCTGGTGCCCTTCAGATGTCTTGCCCTCCAGCTCCCATCATCCCCTGCCATACACATCCTGGGAGTTGAAGTTCAAAACGGGGGGGCGGGTGCCAGGTCGGGAAAGAAGGTCCTATGCTGTTGGTAAGGAAAGAGGTTATTCTAGGATGGTGGGGGGGGTTGCTTGTGGTCCCTCCGATGTGGGGTCACAACTCCCTGTAGCCCTAGGAAGTATAGCCAGTGGTGAGGGATGCTGGGAGTTGTAGTCCAACCACATCTGATGGGACACATGTGTCCCCAGATGAGATTGTAATCTATGTTATCCCACAGGATCTACATGGAAATGAAACAGACTTAAGTAAAATGAACTCATGACAGACCCTGTGATTTCTGTCCTCTGAGTGGGGAGGAGAGGTGAATGGCGCCCTGGAGCTGGGGGTCAGGATGAAAGGCGGAGGAGCAAATTCAAATTTCTGAAAGATGGGGATTTGCCTTATCATTATCATCATGATTCGTTAATAATTGATTAAGTATTATTAATAATATGGCTTAATTATAATAAATAGATAAAGTACATTATTATAAGTATTATTTATTGTAAGTAATTATAATAAATAATAAAGGACATTATTATTTATGAATAATAATACAAAGAAGAACTGGTCAAAACAGAGTGGATTTCCTGGGTCATGTATAATCTCAGTGAAATTTACCTATGCACTTTGCTCTGGGCTTAGAACAACTTTGCTGGTGTTTCTTTTATTTTGGGGCAGAATTTTCAAAGCAAATGGAGTTTCTAGAAGCCGTAACCAGCGCTTTGCGAGCTCTCCTTCAAATGTTAGCCTCCAACAATATACCTCAGGTGAGTGTATGTTTATTTTCTTTTTCCCCCTCCCTGAATTAGTTATTTCCCCCTCCCTGAATTAGTGTATATTTCTTTTCCCTTCCTGTAGTCCCACCCTTTTTTCCTTTCAAGGAACACAAGGTGGCTTATATAATTCTTCTCAAGAACTTCAGCTAGTGAGTGGTATAATAAAAAAATGAAAATTAATCGATTGAATAAATAGTAGATCTTATCCTCACAATGACCATGCTGGGAAGTAGGTTGGGTGGAGAGTCTGTGCCTGGCCCAAAGTCACCCGCTTGGTTCCCTGGCTGAGCGGGGACTCGAACCCAGATCTCCTGAGTCACAGCCCTGTGCTCTTAACCACTACACCACCCGAGTTCTCCAAGTTACACACACATCTGTTGTTTCGAAATGCAAAGAAAATTGTTTGCCTGTCTGGATGGCAGTGGAAAAATCGTTCATTGGGAGGAAGAATGAGTGACATTACCTGGAAAAGGGTATGACTCGTAGATTGGAACCCTGCCCAGGAGCATCTGTGCTGCAACTTTCTGTTGTAGTTCCCAGTTGCCAGCCACCTCCCAGCGTTGTCAGTCTCTTCTCCAATGTTGTCATGCTCCAGAAAGGCCAAGAAGCAGAAGACAGGGTCACACAAATAAAGGTGGAGGAAAGGAGTAGATCCAGCCAGCACCCAGTATGAAGCTGAGCTAGAAAACAGTGCCTCTGAACATGTACAGAATACTTCCCCTCTGCTTTTCCCACGGTCAGTGGATGGAAGTTCCAGGGCCTGCAGCTGTACTACGTCTTTTATAAACTGAGTACTTCAATGCAAAACGTCTTTCTCAACAAGGTTTATGTTGATGTCTGAGCAGCTGATCTTTCCTTCCCGTCCACTTTCCTTTTCAATCTTTGAAACAGTACATGACTCCAGAGCAGCTGATGGCATTGTGCGAAGCGGGAATCCACAGCAACAACGATAGCGTTCGGGTAAATGTCGTGAGCATTCTAGGAATCGCTGGCAGCGTGCTTGCAAAAGTGGAAGACACGGCAGAAACACTAAAGGTAAAACCTGACCAGGATCCTTCCCTTGCTTTTAGCAACGGCGGTACCCCTTAAACCATGACGGTGTTTTTTCTCTGGGTGCGTTTCTGTATCATTTCAGATGATCGGGAAATTCCTCCTGGACATTGCAGCAAAGGACCCTTCTCTCGTGGTCGTGGGAGAAGCTCTGGATGCTCTCTTCGACGTTTTTGCGGATGGTAAAGAAGTGGAAAGGGCAGCAGAGCAAATAAAATTGCTCCAGGCACTTAAAGAATTTCAGCCAGTTTTCAAATTGCGGGTAAGCATAAATGGGTCGTCATGAGAGCATTTATATGAATCGAGACTGGATTTACACCACCATTTGTAGATTGGACTTACCAGCCGCAATAGCCACTATTTCTGTTGATGTTCTAGCATTCTCAACTTCTTTGCTGTTGAGAAAAGGACCCAAGCTGCTAGTCCTCATGGGTGCAGCAATATTCTTTAAAGGTGGAAATAGGTAATAGTTGAGAAAATGGGAGCAATATGGAAAAAAAAATCTCATTGCAAGATCAGAAGTGGGCAGCCTCAGCTAGCTTGGGGGCAGGGGTGGTAGCTTTGTCCACCACAGGGAAATTTAATTTTTTTAAATGTCAGCCGGAATTGCCACAGAGTTTAACAAGAGTTTCCTTTTAACCTAATTTGCACCCTTCTGGGAGAGTCCACGGCAGCTCCGGATACCACTTGGTTAGTTTTTTGGGTAGCCTAGAGCCACATTAAGCCCCCAGCCTGCTGGTTGCCCAACCCCTGGACTAAAGATTGACGGGGTTCATTGCTTCCCTCACTTTTTGCAGTGCTCCTAGTCCGCCCCCACAGACCTCGAACCCAGTTTCTGTCCTTATTCCTCTTCTGTATCTCATGAAACCCATTTCCTTCCTTCCACCCATCCAGCTTCTGTAGCATTTTGCTATAGAGAATAGGGCTGCTGTGAACCACCCAAAGAGTTTCAGCTGTTGGGCAATATAGAAATTAGGTAGGTAGGTAGCTTCGCTTTGCCTCAGCAGCGCAGTACGCACTTCTGCAGTAGCTGAATCGAGCTGGTCAAATAGGGTCAGGTTGAACTGAGATCGGGGCAGTCTTTCCGCGCCTGGCATTCTCCAGATGTGCTGCACTCCAAGCACAGCTGGAGGGTGCCTGGTTTTGGAAGGCTGGATCAGACCAATACGCCCTCACGGGGATATGGGTGAATGTGGCTTTTGGGGTCAAAGCGTCCAGTTTCCAAGGAGGTAATTCACAGACATCGCCTGAGAAGCGATTGCCGCGAAGTACCAGCCAGCCCCGGAGAACACGGTGCTCTAGAACACGAGGAGGAACCCGGCCTGCCAGCGTGTGCTGCATGTGCTGTTGGCGCATCATGCAGTTCGCAGAGGCTGGAGTACCTGTGGGGGTCTCTCGAGGAGCAGGCAGAGCTGAAGGGCCGAGCCTTGAAATGCGGTTCTTTGTCATGGTAGCAGTTGGCACAGTCGGCTGCAAGTTGGTGACAAGATCCTGAACCTTGGCCAGATGTGGACCTGCACACCTGTGGGAGGTACGCCACGGCTACGTGCCCGGAATCCACCTTGATGAGCAGACCCATTCTGCTTGTACATTTAAATACAATCTGCTCTGGGAATGGTCTGTTTATTTATTCATTATATTTATGGCCCATTGCAGAGGTTCTCTGGGAGGTTCACAGAAAAACCATAAAATATCGTTACCATTATTATTACTACTACTATTACATATTTCTGTACTGCCCATTGCTGAAGCTCGCTGGGTGGTTCACAATATTCAAAGTCTCCCATCCAGATTTCAACCAGGCCCGATCCTGTTTAGCTTCTGAGATTAGGCAGAATCAGGCCATAATACAGAACCTACACTAGAGCAGTTTTATATGACGATATAAAATAAAAATAAAAACCAAAGTGAAACCTAGCAGCAATGAAGTGATTTAAAATACAGATTTAAGGCAACAGGAAAGCCAAGGAAATACCACTTTCATTTTCATTTTGTATTTGAAATACAAAGAAAGGAAAATGAAAGTCCATGGGTAATGCTAGGTTGGCAGCACTGTCGGAAGCTTTGAAATGGATATGGTGACCTCACCAGAACTCACCTAAGAAAAGGACCCCGCCAGGATGTTCTTTTGTATGTGTCCCATCAGACCTGGAGCCGGCCCCAAGGTCAGGTTTTGTGCATACCTGTGTGAATGCATGCAGGATGCAGCAAGCTGTGGACTGATCTCAGATTTAGACTTTGATCTTCAAAACACCAACATATCCAGAAGAGTGGATGATTCCCCCCCTCCAAAGCTTCAGGTTGCTTTGACTAAATGATACTTCTGTCTTGATTTGAAATAGCTATATATGATACTACTTGTTTTTCCCAATATTACAGTTGTCTGTGTTGCATGGTTTAAGAATATCATTCTGGCCTGTGCTGGATGGTTTAAGAATATCGTGTCATTCTGTTGAAGAATTTCAGTAAAATGATCTGGGTTTTCCCCCTCCTTTTAAATTGCAGATGCGTAAGGAAGGAAAAGAACGGTACAGCACAGATCAGTTATGTGTGCTGGACAATGTGAAACTGAATTTAAGAAGATTCATTGCCTATCAGGAGACACTGCAGAGAAAAAAATAACTTTGGAGTAGTAAAAAGAATGTAAAGCTATATTTTTGCTAGTTTGTTCAATATGGCACTGTGAAAGGTGGTTAGGGATGGAGGGTGATGGGTCTGCTTTCAATGTTATTTTTCATATGCTTAAGGAAATGGGGAGGGGGCTGTTAATGCTGGATTCAGCATCACTATGTGCCTGCAAACTAGGACTGGAAACGTATTTTGAACTGCATGTCAAATTTGGACCTCGGCTCGTATTTCGAAATCGGGGCTGGAGAACCTCAGGGATTCCATGCTGGCCACACCCCTTGCCCTCGCACTGGCTCCACCTCCTTCCTCCTGGCCACCAATCACTGAGTGGTATTTGTGCAGTCCCTCCCACCGTCATTCCGCCCGGATGAAATGCATATTTTTTTGGTAGTAAGAGCTTTGAGCTAAAATCGGCCAGTGTTTTTGGTCCCACCATTTTGGCCGTCAGCGCACCATGACTGGGATGCTCTCTCCAAGAGTTTCTGGGAGAGAGATTCCCAGCTCCCATCCTAGGTGATGCACCTCAGCTTCCCGTGAACAGACCCCAGACTGTTTTGATAGGAATATTGAGGCTCTGTGGGTCAGCACATCAGTTTTCCAGGTGTCCAGTTGGCCAGGAATTTTCTCGTCTTCCTCTGGAAGTTAACGTTCCTGATCTTTTAAACATAGTTAGGATATTGGGAGCCTCTGAGAGGCTCCTACACCCCTTTCCTGGGTTTCAGAGTAATTATAATGCACTTAAGCCTTTCCTGGTGTCGCCATGAACCATGGTTGGCTGTTCCACTTCTCACCGAAGACACATTCTCCAGTTTGAGCTGACTTCGACTGATGTCAGCAGTGGTTCTGATGCAGCATTATCACCATCCTTCGCTTTCTGAAAAAGAAAGGGAAGCAGCGACATGCTGTTTGTGAGCAGCAGCCAGACTTCCAGACCATGGTTTAAAAATCTGGAATAGTCAATCGCTTTGTTTTTGCTGTTATGTGCTGTCCAGTTGTCTCTGAGTTATAGTAACTCTGCGACAGAATGTCCTTTATCCACGCACTGGGTCACTACTGGACTGAAATCTCTGGATTGTATTATCATTGTGTTAAATCTTTCTGTCTGTCACCTGTCTGTCATTTCTCTGAGTTTCTGATGTGAAACTATCATTTTTGCAAAGGAATCATGCTCAAAATTTGAATTGAGTCATCCTGGAAAAATATTTGTCGAAAGTATGTTTTTATGGAATGCTCGGAGAGTAGAGACATTAATGGAAAGCAAGGTCTGCCTTTAAGATGGGGCATTTTAACCCTGCTAATTTGCTACAAGTGGGGGCTTTGCAATCTTTCTTGGCTGACCATACTGCAGAAACATACCAAGATTTTTTCAGCTGGTGGCAAACTGTTTGCATCAGCTGGGGCGGTAGGAAAACTCCAGTCTCTGGGAATCCACATCGATCATTTAGGTACCAGTCATAAACAGGGCTGAAAAAATATTTTAGGTTTCATGGTCATTGGCTTCTCCTTTTCTAGCTGTTGTCTTGCCTGGGATTTTTCCAGGCTTGGCTATATAAATGATAGATAGCCTTCAGCGGTTACTGTTGAGCAGTAACAACAGGTGTGAATGTTGTCGCTCTGCAAAATTGCCCACACCTGTCACCTTGAAATCTGTTTGCTGAACAGTTGGAAAAATATAGATGGCACAAGACCAATTCCCTTTACCTTGAGTCATTTACGTGGCTTGAAATTGGGAGTTTGAATGGAAACCAGCAGTGCTCTGGTGCCTTTGGAGATGTCTCTTCTAAAAAAGACATGCTGTCAGCTTTTGGAGTCAAGAGACTATTTCTGGTGCCATCTGATGAAATAGGTCTTGCCTTCAGAAGCACACGCCACACTTTATTAGCCTGGATGTCTTTCTGTGCTCCTTTTGCTCTGGTCCAAAATTTGGAAATGATCTTACTGTGTTTTTAAAATCAGTTTTAACCTGTTCTGAATCTGTCTGTTGTACATGAGATGCTTTTAAAATTCTGAGGGTTGTATATGTCATCTTGGGCCCCAGAGTTCTTTTGGGCTGAAATGTGCTTCATAAATAGTTCAGTGAATGAATTAATGAGCTCTAGGAAGGAGGAAATACTCCACGTTGGGCTTTTGGTCCCTGCCCCATCCAGTTCACCGAGTGCCCAGCTTCAGAGTGGCTGTTTTTTTCTAGGCAGCAAAAGTAGCTTAATTTTCACTGTAGGCAATGTACTTGCTCCCTGAATTTTCTCTTTGCACCATGAAGAGTACACCCTTAATCTCTGAAGTGCCTAAACTCAGCCAGTTTTCTGAGTGAGACAGCAGAATAATACTCAACACACTCTCATGCTTTTTCATCACCTGAGCTATTTCCCATTTCCTTGGCATTGATATGCTAGGATAATACACAGGAAAATACCTTCCTTCACAGTTTTTTTTCAAATGAGATTCTTTTTAAAAATACAGATTTTAAAAATGTAAATTTGTTCTTCTGTAGACAATGTTTATTCTTTCTTCTATAAACTAAGTCAGTCTGATGTTTAAAAAGGAGAGGGTTAATGACCTTCATCAAATACATGGTATTTGCACTATGTCTCTATGATATGTGTGTGTGTGGTAGGTACAATATATATAATAGAATTCTTCAGATCTGTATATACAATGGAGATTTTAAGTTGGCCTGTATGACATAGAATATAAAGAATGCTGAACTTTTTAAAGAAAATTGGTACTGTCATCTTGTAATTGAAACAGCTTAGTCTAAAACACCGTTAAACAGAAAACAACTACGTATTTTCTTCTGAATAGTGTTACGCTTGTATTTGAACTGAACTCAGTTGCTGAAATTTGCTGTATGAATGACAGAAATTAGAGGATTCTTCTGATGTACTGTTAAACTTCAGCAGGAAGGGACAGTAAATTGCTTCTTAGAATATGATGAACTTCACCTCCTAGCCACACTCCCGATTTTTCTAGAGTGGTCCTCTTGGCTTGGTTACTCTACTAATGATGGATGGCTGGAAATCAGAGATTTGTGTTCCTGGAAGCACCTCTCAGTCCTAGTTGGAGTGGGAGCATTGCAGGAAGATTCCCCCAGGCCAAGGGGCGGGAGCTGGAAGGGGAAGGAACACGTAAGACTGCCTTTCCTGGGCTAGAGCATTTTATTTAACCATTTTTGCCAGGCATTGGAGGAAAGGGAAGAGGGTTAGGGAGGCAAGCCCATTGCTAACATCAGAACAACTGTGGGAGCTCCAGGTAGAACTCATTGTTCTGAAATTGTACAGCCCGAACTTTTCTGGGCTTCTTAATAAAGATAAGGGCATTTCATGGGGAGAATTTTCAGAGGCAAAACATGCCTCTTCTTACAGCATATTGCTGATGCACCATTTATTAAACACAATGCACATTGCTAGCTAATGTTCTTGTTGTGGTTGCCCTGCACATTTACGTAAAAACTGCACATTCACTTGATGAAATTTAGTCGCCATCTGTTCCAAGTAATTTTCATCATATAGACAAGGAAGGCAGATCTGCCTGAGCCTTTGATAATTTACATGACTGAAATAATTACCTCCCCTTCCACTAACTTAGATCTGTTTCACAATGCTTTGCATTACATCTGCAAGTAAATCTTCCAAACTGACCAGCAATTTGAAATCGCCTTTATGAAAGCAAAATGGCATTTGTCACCTTTGCCACATGCCACGCACTGCCAAACACCGTGCCACAAAACAGACGTGTCAGGAAAAATTAAAATTAGATTTATGCATGTAAATATGCTCAAATCCATCCACCTGTGTGCCAATTTGCTTTTCAATTTATGACAACTGCTGAAATGGAGAGGTGCGTACAAAGATGCGTTCCCATATGTATACACTCACAAACCCACATTGGCTTTCCATTTCTGCAAACAAGCATGGAAAAGCCAAATGTGTGTTTTGTTCTTGTCCCTTGCCCATCTCTGGTCTTGGAGAGCTACCCAGTACATTCTGAGATGTCCAAGAATTTGATTTGCAAATGGAGACTTTGCCTTGTGGCACTGAACCGCAGATGTACCACAAGATGGAAAGAACAGTTACTCTGAATCAATCTGACATCAAGCTTTGATACCATACATTAGGAGTTACTGCTAACATGGTCTTTGAGTGTAGGGTTGGTTTGTTTTGTGGTGATTTTAATCTTACCTACCAGAATTTTGGAAATAGTTGGAAGTAATTTTTGGGATACTTTCTTTGGGAGTCAGAAGATCATGTTCCATCTTCCCTTTTATTGAATCAGTGTGTGTAAGAAGAGTGAGGGTATTTTTGTATCCACATTCTGATAATGCCCACCACAGCTTTGGATTTTGACTAGACCAGATGAAATGTCTTGCCATTTAAAGACTGGATACTCTGCAATATGTTTGGGCAAGGCATACATCATTGCTTTTGGTAGGGTATGTGTGTCCTTTGCCTCTGAGTAACACTCAGATGCTTTTGGATGTGGGATTCCTCCACCCATTGCCAAGTGATGGCTTTGGCAATGAGTATATTTTCCCATCCTTTAAAATAAAGATGATTTGGGGTTTTGGCCATTCCTTTGGATGCAATTTCCGTCCATGATTTTTGCAGATTAGATTACCATGATGTACTGCAAGTTGGGTGGCATTGTCTAGATAGTTCAGCTTGTATAGAATATAATTTGAGTCTAGAGACCCATGGGGAAGGATTAATGAGAAGGAAGGATTTGTTGGAAAAGACCCTGATGCCGGGAATGATTGAAGGCAAAAAGAGAAGGGGACAGCAGAGGTTGAGGCGGCTAGCTGTGGTCACTGGGCAGTGGGTGTGGGCTTGGATGGACTCCCGAGGGATGGTGGAGGTCAGGAGAGCCTGCAGGAATGTTGTCCATGGGGTCGTGAAGGGTCAGACATGACGTAGCGACTAAACAAAAGAGACAGCCATGAGGAATTCCGAACCCCGATGTTCCACAAATTAGTAATTCCTTGAAACTGAGAGCGATAGACCATATCTTTGTTGAAATAGCTTCAAAATTAAAAGCAGCTGAAGTGCTTTGCTCATGGTCTAGAAATTCTGTTTTGCACGGAGCTAGTGAAGGTGTGATCTGGAAAGGGCATGGATCATTGGGACATCTTGCCTGGCATTCATGTTAATTAAGGCCTGAAATTGCTGAGCCTCAGGAACTGGCAGAATATGCTGAACATGGTCTGAATGTGTTCTGAGATGCAGGAATTTAGCAGCTATTGAGGTCTGCACTCTATCCCTTTATTTAACCAGACAGTCGAGATGGATTTCTGAAGCATCTTCTGACAGTCTTCAGTTTACTTACCCGATGTACTGTTGACCTCAGCCTGTCTTCTCTGTTACTCGTTTTTTACAAACCTTAAATAATGGTTTTTCCTGATGCTTATTATATATAAGCATTTGACTTTGAACTTGCCATATTCCTCAGGCAGGTAAAACGGTTTAAAAATACAAAGCGCAAGAAGGAACTTGTGGAATTTTGATAGGCATTAATCCCAGGCTTCTGCTATCTGTGGAAGAGGTCTACCCCTGTGGCATTAAAGGGGTCTTTTGAAGGAAAGGGAGCTGGGCATATGGAAGGCCTTACCTCTCACCAACTGTATCTTTTTAATGGCAAAGGAGCACTAAAGCTCTTTTACATCCATGTGGATAATTACTGTAAAGCACTTTGTACACTGAAAAAGGATATGCAAGTATTGATAATACTTCCAGGAGGGAAAACTTAAGAAGAAATATTGGCTAAGAATGAAAAGGGAAGAGAATAGATGCTTCTTCAAAGTCTGAAGAAAAGGCAATCAAGTATTTAAAAATGCAGGATTAATCCAAACCATAATGGAACAGAGTCTGATGAAACCTTAGATACATGGATTAAAGAGGAAGAAAAAAAGTGGAGAGAACTGGAACCAATGAAGTTAAGCCAATGGAGAGTTGCCAACTAATATACAGATGGAAAGATGAGAGAATATTGGAAGATAACAGTACGGTGGTTCAAGATTTTTCAGAAGACTTCAAAAGAGGGAGATTCTCTAAAGTGAGGGAAAGGCCAGAAAAAGGATGGAAGGGTGGGTGGATGGGAGTCAGGATGCTTAAAAAGATGTGGAGATTACTCAGTCCACAACATAACACAACGCTCAGCTGGAGTGGACAACACAAGTTAGGAAGGCTAGCATGAAGTCCAAGAGGTCAACAGCACAGTTAACAAGCTGTGTCAAAGAAGCTATTGGAGAGAGTAAGACGTCCTTCAGAAGTCTTGTCCAAGTGAGAGAAATAAACGTACAAGCAATCAATAAAAGATGCAAAAAATTTTTTGAGGTGCATATGCTGAACAATATCAAGGCTAACAATGCAGAATTCCTCAAATAGATGAGAAGCAGGATGTGCACTAGAGAGGCAATTGGACAACTGCATGATAGTGGAATAAAAGGAATATTAAAGGAGGATAAGGGGATTGCAGAGAAGTTGGATGAATTCTTTTCGTCTCTCTTCAGTGCAGAAGATACGGGGCAAATCGCTGTGCCTAAAATGATGTTTGCAGAGAAAGTGACTGAGGAACCAAGGCAAACAGTGATGGCCAAAGATGATGTTCTCAAACTTCCTGACAAACTGAAAGTTAATATATCACCAGGCCCAGATGGAATCCATCCTAGAATTCCTAAAAGACTCAAATATAGCATTCTGGCCTTCCTTCAAAAATACATAACATGTCCTTCATGTTTTAAAAGGGATCCAGAAGGGACTGAGGAAAGTACAGGCTGGTTAGCTTAATGTCTGGTCCAGGCAACCTGGTTGAAAGCATAATTAAAGATAGAATTAGCAAGCATGTAACAGGACAAATCCTGATGATAAAGATTTCACATGGCTTCTACCAAGGTAAGATCCGTCTCCCCAGTCTTTTGGAGTTCGTTGAGAGTCCCAGTAAATGCAGGGATTGGGATGATGCAGTAGATATTGTTCATTTGGACTTGCAAAAGGCCAGAACTTTTGAATAAGAGCCTTTCCAAAGTCTCCTGAGTAAACTTAGCAGTCCTGGGTTAATGAGATCAGTAACTGTTAATACAGAGCAGAAATAAATGGCAAACGCTTGTAAGGGGACATTTGTAAACTCTGTGAACCCACAGGGATCTGCATTGGGGCCAGTGCTTTCCATCTTACTCTGAGTAAGTAAGATGGAAAGCATGTTCCTGCAAAAAAGGTAAATTCCAGGTTAGGCATACATAGGAAATTAAAAAATGTCCTAATTAATAAATGGGAAATTAAGTGCCAATATCATACTGCCCTTTCCGTGCAACCACACTTAGAATACTGTGTTCAATTCAGGTTACTGCACCAAAAAGGAAGAAATAAAGAAAAGCAACTGAAATTATCAAGGAACTGGAATATCTCTGCAGTAAGGAAAGGTTACGGAGCCTGGGATTGTTTCCTTCAGAAAATGATGACAAAGTGGAGTACAGGTATGCGTGCCGTGGAGGAAGTGGATAGGGTGAACTTTCTCTCGCTCTTGCTTTATACTAGAATCAGGCCATTCTGTGAAGCGGATTGGGAGGAGATTCAGGACAGATAAAAAGAACTCTTTCTTCACACAGTGCGTAACGTGTAGCGCTGGCCAACAATCTGGATGGCCTTCCAGAGAAATGGAACACATTTGCGGAGAGAAAGCTACCCATGGCTACCAGTTCTGATGGCTGTCTGCTACCTGCTGTATCCGGCAGGATGCTTTTTTGGTCCAGACATGGCTATTATGTTCTTATGACCCGAACAAAGCGGCATAACCAAACAGGCCACTAGCTGGCATACCTGGACTCTCAGGGATCCCTGCACCCTGCTATTGCCTGCGCTGATAAATTAAATAAATATATTGATATATATTCAATTAAATTATATATCAACAAAATTTGAATTAGCCCCCTTTATTGAATTGCACAAGCTGCCTCTTTTGTTAAGAAAGGGCATGCAATGAGATTTCATACCCTTGCCTTTTCCAAATTATTTTCTCCAGATCTCTTTGTTTAGTTTCCCATTAATATTGTTCTGCATTGATTGGATTCCCTAAAATTAGGACAAAACTAAGAGTTGCCCAAACTTGGTGGGCTGTGATGTGTGGCCGGGAGCTGCATTTGGCTTAGGGTCTCTCTGAGGACCTCACCCCCTTGTTGTTGTTGCTGTTAGATGCATTTGAGAAGCACGGCATAAGAAACCATGGCTCTCTTCACATTGTCGGACTGAGCTGGGCAAACTATTATTACTTCATAAGTTCCACAGCTGAAGTTCGGAGTTCAAAACTAAACTGGTTCTCAGGAGAGAACAGGGCCTAAACAAGGACAGATGGCAAAGTGCATGAGCATGCTATACACCAACAGTGGGAAGGTGTGTGTATCTTTGCAGCATTGTAAACAGAGCTGTAGACTGAAATTATACAGGTATGAATAAAAATATCAAAGGTGAGGGCAGCAAGACCTGGGCAGGCCAAATCTCTTTCTGCTGAAAGGTTGTATGTGTGGGAGAGACGGGTGAGGCGAGGCTATCAAGACCTTGTACAATGAACAGTGACATAAAAGTAAATAACTATGAAAGTAAACAAACCTCGAAGTGGTTTGGGGGCAGCTCAGAGTCCCACACTGGGTGATAAACGGTCGTTGATAAGTGTTTATAGCAGTAACTGAAAGGTTGGTGTACGAGGACAAGTATGAACAGTCAAGTAACTTGTACGCAGGTTACCAAAGTGCAAGGAAAGTCTTTGAGTGTGTCAAAACGGAGCCACTGCAAAAAAGGCTATGAGTGTATGTGCTCTGTTCAGGGCTAGGGGCTATGTGCTTGGAAGTTAAGCTTGTTCGGTAGCAACTAGCAATTACTTGTGATATCAAAGGCAATTTGTTTCTGAATAGCAGTGGCTGGGAGAGGGGAGCTCTGGCCCTCAAGTCCAGCGTGTGGACTTCCAAGAGGTGTTGGGTGGTCTGGGCTCCACCAAAACTGAATGCTGGACTAAGCCAAGCCTTTGGGTTTCTCCAGCCTGACTCTTCTCAAGTTATGCTCTTAGAGGGGTAGATGGGAGGGGCGGGAGGTAGCATAACTTGTCAAATAGTACTCTAATTTTTGGCACCACAGAAGGGATGCAATTATGATTTTCTGTTCCAGGTTCCAAAACTGAGTTGGGACAAGACTAAGGTCAGAAGGCTTAGGCTAAATAATCCAAATTATGCATGTGAAGAGGGCTTTGGCTTCCTAGAAGCTTCCACTGCTGCATCACTTGTTAATGGAGCCAAGCTAAGGAAACTAAGGTTCAATTTGGATGCCAGGAAGCACTTCCTGACAGGACCCCTGGGGTTTGGAATGGGCTTCCACAGGAGGTGGTTGAAGCCCCATGGGAGAGGGAGTTCAAGAACAGGCTGGACAGGCAACATGGTAGGCATGTCATGAGCACAGCCAGCTGGAGCTGGAGGTCAGACTACATGGCCTGGGAGGCCCCTTCTGCCGAGCTCTGTTTGTGTTAGATCCCGTAGCCTCCATGTTCCTCTTATTAAATTTGTATAAAGGAGCCTATTTGCATAATACTCTTATGATGCATTTGATGCTCCCTCTGCCTATCTTCTCAGAAGTCAGTTCTCTCCCACAGAAACGCAATAAGGCTGAAGAAAATGCGTGAAGCCCTTTAAATTGCTGACTCGGGGGTTGCCCCCATTGCAACAAGATGGCAGCAGCGCCTTTTGGCTCCGGCCAGGTGGAGTCCTAGTCCCCCAAACGGTCCCGCTCATCCCCGCTCGCCGTCCTCTTCCCCAGGACTCCCTCCGCTGCTCGCGACCACGGCCAGCATGCAGCTCCGCGAGAGAAATGCGCTGCCGCGGGATGCCGGCTGCGTTGCTGTCCACCCGCTGCGGCCGGCGGCGTCCCAGAAAGGCGCTACCGGAATGCAATCTTTAGGGGAATGGCGGCGGCGGCGTGACGCCCGCGCTGCAGCCTCGCGAAGGCAAGCGCCGGGGTGTCGCATCGGGTCTTGAGGGCCGCGAGGAGCCCCGGCACGTGAGTCGGGGTCGCCCGCTGCAGCGCCAGCGCGCCCGGCCGAGGCGAGGCGAAAGCGGCCCGCGGAGCCGGCGCGGCCTAGCGCGGCCTGCCCCACGCTCGCTTCCGCGCCCGGGCCGCCGCCGCCGCCGCCGCCTCCCTCCCACGCCTTTATTACGCGCGGCCCGTGCGGCGGCTGCCTCTCCGGCAGGGCCCCGCCTCGCTCGCCAGGAGGGCGGGGGCTGCTGTGTGGCGGCGGAGGCGGAGAAGCGAGCCGCGCTAGCGAGGAAGCCAGTCCGTGGCCGCTCGCCCGCCCGCTCGCCCGACGACCGCCGAGCCGTTTCCCCGCGGCAGGCAGGCAGGCAGGAGGAGGAGAGGAGAGGAGGAGGAGGAGGCAGCGGCAGCCAGGCGCCCTCGCAGAAGCCGCCGCAGAGCCGGCGCCCAGTGGAGCGGCGCGGCGCGGAGGAGGCCCCCGCCTCGCCGCCCTTCTTCCTTCCCCCAGCCCGGCCGTCTCCCCGTCGTGCCGAGAGCCGCCCGCCATTAGCGCTGGGAGCCGGGGGGTGCCGCCGGGCTCTCGGCCGCGCCGGGCCGGGCCGGGCCGGGCGACGAGTGGGAGGAGCAGCCCCGTCCGCCGAGGGTCCGCTCCCCGTTTGATGGATCCCCGGATCGCCTGGTTCCAGCCAGAGCAGCTCGGCCCCTCGAACCGCCTGTGGATGCAGATTTGGGAGACCACGCAGGGGGTCCGCAATCTCTACTTCCAGCAGCAGCAGCAACAGCAGCAGCAGCAGAGCGCCTCCGCGCCCGCGCCGCCGCCCGCCGCCGCCCCCACGCCCGCCGCCGCCGCCGCGCACCCCGGGGTCGG